CACTTGAGTCTCTGTCAGGAGTGAGTCTCGTCAGCCATACAACACTCAAGATGAGCTTCAAAGCTGTACTAGGTGCGATACCAGCACTTTTCTTTCTACTTCTTTCCAACCTGAGCCTCAGCGTCGCAGCTCCTCCGGTTCTCGCCTACCCGCCGAATGCTCCCCCCGGGGCGAGACAAAATGTCACGCAGGCGTTCAAAGATGCCATGACGCTTGCGAGGATTGTCGTGATAACAGCCACCGACTGTGACCCAGTAAGTTGTGATGACAGAAGGACGCGACATCAGCCTTTTCCCCAACTGATCCCGATCCCTTCCGTTTGCTCAGATTTGGCTGATTTGTCTCATGGCAGGCATTTCTGCGGTATTTCCAGCCACAGGATTACACGTTTGTGCAGCGCATTTTTAGAACAATCAGCAACGTTGACCTGTTTATGGATATCACCCCACAAGACGTCCCGCAACTGCTCGCCGGGTCCAACCTGCCCTCGTCGTGGAACCCGGACTTTGTCGCCCTCTGCATCGCCTACGGGGACAACCCGTTCAACCCGGCCGACCTGGACCACTCGTGCGCCGGCGGCGACAACGCATACACGGTCTACGACACGAGTCCGACTGCGCGCTTCTCGGGCCTGGTCTCGCTGTGCCCGGGCTCGCCCATGTTTGTGTGGCGCCTGTCGATCAGAGACACGATCAGCCCGCCGGCGTGGGGCCGCGTCGGCGGCGTCGCGACGGGAGAGCCCCTGCCGGGGTTCGGGTGCGACGGGCTCGGCGACCGCGACACGGCATACATGAAGGTGATTGGGTCGACGGTGCTGCACGAGCTGCTGCACTGGCCGTGGATGTTCCTCAGCGTGCCGGACTACACGACCCTGGTCCCGGACCACGACCACCGCATCACCGACTACACGGGGCCCTGGGCCGAGGGCGCGTACGGGCCCTACAACGCCATGCGCATCAACCAGCTCCCGCCCGACCCCCGCACCGGCATGTCCCAGTCCATCCAGAACGCGGACAATTACGTCTCCTACGCCCTCTCGCGCTTCTGGTCCTTTCGCTGCGACAAAACCTTTGGGCCCGCCCTGTCCGCAGATGATAACTACAATGTCGCAGATAGGCAGCGGGGGCCGGGATGAGATGATCCACAATCTGGAGGGACCGACGATGGTTGTCTGGAGGCGGAAGCGGAGGCGGAGGCGGAGGCGGAAGTGGATGGACATCTCCAGACCAGGACAGCGAAATAGTTGATTCGTGATTCTGCAAGGCACGAAAGCGCGCACGCAGGAGAGAACAGGCATGTCTGTTCCCCAGAGGGAATTGGGGTGAATGGGAAAACAGTGTGGTGGTACAAAACCTAGCATACCTACCTAGGGAGGTATTCAGGTATCGACGGGGGTGACGACCGAATTTGGTGAACAGGGGGCCACCAAGGGGGCATGTCTCTTCACGCCATCATCGCCGCCACAAGACCGAGCTAATGAAATGAACCGCCCCCAGGTGTATTTGTCGAAGAAAGGACTAATGTTTCTTCTTCTTTTTTCCTTGCACGAAAATGGCGTGACGCGTAGAGTGTCTTTCTTTGTACGTGGACGTCTTTGTGTCCTTGTACTTGTACTTAGACATGTTTGTGTGTACAGATAGATGTTAGATGTAAGAAAGGCGTTGTTGTCGGTCTGTGTGTCTATATTTTTCATGCCACATGTCACATGTCACATGTACTTCGCAGTGACTGACCAAGTGACCAATAACCCCTGCGTGGTTGCCGACAGGAGGGAGGGAGGGAGTCCGTGGCCATTGCAAGACAGTACATATAGTTTGTCCACACTGTTCACGAACGCCATTTCCTGACCAAAAGGGAATTTTGTCGGCGAGGCTGAAAATGCTGGGGAACTTCTCGCCCTTTTCCAGATTCGTTCTAGAAAAAACATTCCTCCCACTTGCAGGTGGTTCTGTTTTGTCAATTGCATGCTCCTCTTTCGATCTCCGGACAAGCTCAATAATCTTCCACAGTCCAAGTAGATTATGCTAGTGGGTCTCGTATGCACAAATACGTCGTCACTGTTCCCGGCAGCGTCTTGTGGTTGCTCGTGGCGGTCTCGCTGCTTCTGGAGATGGTCCAGCATTCTACATGTAGTCGCGCCAACCTTGACTGTCAGTGATAGGTGAACTCTGTAGAATGATATAACTTGAAGAGACCTGTGCATCAACGCAGCGATCATGACTCAAAGGAGAAGTGCACTGGCTCATTCTCTCCATCGCGGAGGACGATGGCTGGTCACAAAAGGTTCTCGTCTCTACTTGATTCTGCATTGACGCGTCGCTCCAGCAGGCGATTTATGCATTCTCTGTGCAAAGTTGCCTCGTGGACCGAGCCAAGGACCGGGTGGCCGTCGAGCATTGACTGTAGACGTTTTCTGTATCGGCGGTCGCACACGGCTACTCGAGATGTGGATGGCCCTTTACCAAATGATCGAGGAAGAGAAACATCTCTACCATTGTCAGAAGGTCTTCTGATTCTTGCTTCGCGCTTAGCCCGGCCTACGAAGTAGTCCACATCATTCTTGGCCTTCAGGCGATGATCTCCCTCTTCTCGCCCATGGCTCAGTGTTGTGGCCTCCATGGTCAGTCATGGGGCATCACGGAATAATAAGCGTTGACGGGCTAGCTTTGACAAGGTGTGTCTTCGCCGAAGGAGGTCCAGGAGACGACAGAAAGCTGGCAAGCATAAGGGGTGCGAGAGCTGGAGGAGAGGAGAATTGCCCGTTTTTGATCCTCCTCTTCCCCGCCTCGCTTGTTCTCGCCGTAAGTCTTGTGGGTCGTCGAATCCCCCTCCACTGTTTTTGATGGAGATTTTATAGGATGTGGCGACACGGCCCCAATCGTCCACGTCAGGGCAATTTCTTCCGACCGTAGGAGAGGGTCTGGGTCGCGGTCTGATCGGGGTAAGGATGTGCAGGGGAGGACACGGGCAGACTATGGAGAACGTTCCAGGTCAGTAAAAGATCGCCAATGACCCTCTTGCTCACCGCCCACGACAATTTTCTCCAAAATCGTCCATGTCAACAAAGAAAATCTCCCTCAGGGGTAATACAGGCTGATGCACTGTGTTCAGATCTTGTCATATCCTACTCAGAGTACATTGGTGGAGGGAACGAGCGGGTGAGAGACAGAGGCGGTGTTTGTGCCTGCCCAGTTGGTTATTTGCAAGTCACTCTCACCTTCTTTTGCCTTTCAATCTTCCCCCCTTTTTTCAGCATTTCTTCCTCCAATCCAGAGACACGACAACCGCTGTCAAAATGTCTTCGCCAAAGCTCAAAGTCGCAATCGCGGGTTTGGGCCGCATGGGATCTCGTCACGCGCTTCATTTCCACACCATGACCCCTCGCGCAGAGTTGATCGCGGTCTCTTCCCCAGACGCCAAAGAGTTGGCCTGGGCCACCCGAAACCTGGAAGGCGTGCGGACATACCTGGACTACGACCAGATGTTGAGGGCAGAGAAGGAGTTGCAGGCTGTGGTCATCGCCTCGGCAACCGTCGTTCACGCTGAGCAGGCCATCAAAGCCATCAAAAGGGGCCTTCACGTCCTGTGTGAGAAACCTCTCAGCACAAATCCAGAAGTTGTACGTGGCAATAGTCTCCCCTTTCCTGTCGTGTCACGGTGTCCTCTTACCTGCGTGCTGATACCCTTGCCACGATAGTCACAGACAGTTGTCACTGCATACCGGGCGGCGAAGACGACCTATCCCAAACAAAAGGTCATCTGTGGCTTCTCCCGCCGCTTCGATGCATCCTACAGAGATGCCCACCAGAAAATGCGATCGGGTTTGATTGGACGCCCGGCCGTCTTTCGCTCGCAGACCTGCGACAAGCTCGATCCGTCCGGGTTCTTTGTGCAGTACGCACAATTCTCTGGTGGTATTTTCGTGGATTGCTCCATCCATGACATTGACCTAGCTCTGTGGTTCTTCGGTGAAGACTCAATTGTCAAGTCCGTCAGTGCAATTGGCATAACGGCCGTCTCTCCCGAGCTGCGGAAACACAACGATCGTGACAATGCGTTGGGGATCGTGGAATTTTACGGAGGCAAAATTGCTCAGTTGTATTGCAGTAGAATGATGGCTGCTGGACAAGAAGACAGTAGGCACTAGCCCAATCTTTCCAAGCTCCCGCGCCCGAGATCACTTTGTTCATTTCGGGATATCATCTAACACGTGTGTGTGTGTGTGTGTGTGTGAGACTAGGCACCGAGATCACCGGCACCGAGGGGAAACTCGCCGTCAACACGCAACCCATGTCCAACCTCGTCAACATCTACGAGTCCTCGGGCATCCGCCGTGAGATTCCACCTCACTATTACGGCCGATTTAGGGAGGCCTTCATCACCGAAGCAAACGAGTTTACTGCCTGCTGCCTCGACGACACCGAACCTCCATTCAGGCTCGAAGGGGCTGTGGCGGCGGTCAAGATCGGCTGTGCTCTACAAGAGAGTCTCATCACCGGGAAGAAGATCGAGTTTGACGAGATCGGTCGGCGGGTAGACAGTGGCGCAGAGAACGAGGCAGCACTCTTGACCGCGAGGTTGTGAAGTTGAGGGCGTTTTCGAATGCGGCGCACGACTTGGAGCCCGGGTACAGGTACATAGACTGAAGGGGCTCATTTTACCGACCAAAGCCGGATCTGATTAATAGAAGAGTATAAAGCGAGGCGGGAGGACTAGGTAAATAGCTCCTCTCGATAGCGACGGCATAATAAACACGTTTGTCTATATTAGTATCACGCTCGCAAAACTTTTTTGACAATAGGGTTCATTTTCAATCGCATTGTGGAGAAAAAACCTTGAGGAGCTCATGACATTCATCGCTTGATGGCTAGATAGACAACACAACACGCTCGTCGCTTGCACTCAGATATTGGACGGTAAACGTCTGCATATGTTCTTTCGTTCCCCACCCAAAGGAGTCTATACACAGTAGTGTTACAAAGAGTTTTTGTTTCTTTTTTTCAGTCGTATCTCCCCTCTGGGAAGCGGCCGCGGATGTAGCCGAAGCCTTCCTTCTCCTCGATGACGTCGAGGTCGCGCACGAAGGTGGTGTCGTGGTGGCCCGGGTCGGCGGGGTTGGGACGCACGCCGTAGGCGAGGCGGTAGTCGTGGCCGAGGCGGTCGGCCATCTCGTCGAGGGTGAGCAGGCAGCCGTCCTGGCCGACCTTCTTGATGACCGGGTAGAGCAGGTGGGCGGCGGTCATGAAGCTGGGCTCGAGGATGATGGCCTTGCCGGAGAACCAGACGACGCCGACGAGCAGGACGAGCTGCACGACGGGGATCCCCGCCAGGATGGCCCCCGCGTTCTTCCACTTGACTTGGACGACCTGCGCGGGCCGCGGGCCGAGCTGGCCCGTCACGATCTGCCGTGGCCCGCTCGCGTCCATGGCCGACAGGGCGCCGACGGTGAACTTCATCACCAGCTCCGCGACGGTCTCGGCCGTGGCGTTGCCCGCCGGGTTGAAGGGCGTGTCTCCGTCGAACCGGAAGAACTGGAGATCGTCGTCCACCGTTTCGACACCGGTCCAGCCGATTGATCCCGCGAGGTAGAAGGCTTGGTCGTCGGGCATTGTGAGCCGCTCCGGTTGGTCGAAGCCACTTCCCTCGATGCCTTCCACCTCCCCCACCGTATTGTTGCACGCCCACATGCGAGGAACTGGCACCGTGTCGTTGTCGGCCGATTGGAGCGCGAGAATCTGGCTGCAGCGCGGACCGCAGCCGACATTTTGACTGCTGGAATTGCCCATCCAGGTCGTGAACCCGGTTGCCACGTCTGTCACCGAGTCGAAGAACACGTTGCCCTGGTCATCCTGCCAAGAGACATCGTAAAGCTCGCTTGCGTTGTCCGTGTTGAATCCGGCGTATCCGCCGAGAAGGACCGTATATTCCACGCAATGTGCCTGACTGGTCACGGTCCTGGTGGAAGTGCTGGCTGTCTTATTGTCGGGGCCGATGTCCGCGAATCGGTACCACCACAAGTCCCTGTCTACGTTTGTGAAGACAGACGAGGACGAGCCGTCATAGCTGTCGAGTGTAGACGTGATCTCTTCAAAATTCTGACCTACTTGGCCCCAGAGATTCGCGGCGGCCTTTTGGTATTCCGGCAGGTAGTCTCTGCCGTTGTCGGGCTGTTCTCGGCTCGAAATATATTGAAGGTCGGCCACGCTGATGTTGCCTGTGGAAATGTCAGTATGAGGAATGGGCCGAAATCATCCAGCCTTTAGAGCTGGTTGAAGCAGTGCAAACCGCTACAAACTTACCAGGGGCTACAAACACAAAAAGTCTTCCGACACATCGATGGAATACGTCAAACCGAGAAGTGCGGCAAAAGTGTTGAAGGCCACAAAAATGAGTATCCAAATGGCAGCAACCACTTGAGCTTTGCTCGGATACCACGTGCCTCGACGCCGACCTTTCCACATTATGCGCAGTGCACTTCGGTAACTGTCGCAACCAAGCACATCCTCAAAGTCTTGGATGGTTCGGTACTGCGAGGCCAGGAATCTCCAGCGCATCATCTCGGCGTACTGTTTGAATTGTGCAGCAAAGGCCAGACCGAGCACAATGGACAGTCCGGTGATCATGGCGTTGTAGACGTACTTCTGTGTCTGGGAGAGTCCGGTTTTGATTGTGGAAAAGCCGTACATGGTACCTGCGAGAGCGCCACAAATTCCAGCTGTCCAAAGCCACATCATCAAGCAGTCGAGAAGTACTCTGCGCGTCTGTCGGCGAGGGTCAAAGTATCTGACAGTGTCGGTGTTTGTTGGCACATCCCGGAGATGTTTCTCGTTGAGCTTGTGTTCCCAGGGCGATGATGCGGTTGGGCGTATGGTGAATCCGGAGCCTGTTCTGTTGTAGCTTTGGCCTTGGGATTCGTGTCAATAAGCACTGAATGGTGGGACCTTGCGTTTGGGGCCATACCTGTCACTCCGGGCCGGACATGGAAATAGTCTGGGTTGTCAGGTTTCATGCGGTCGTTGAGTGAGTCGTCGCTATACCCCGGCTGGCTCCATTCCTGAGCATGTCCTTTCATGTTCTTCAGGGGAACATCACCAGCACCAGCTGCACCTTCGACTGAGTCACCTGCCAAATGCTCTCGGCTCGTGTCGCGATGGGTTAAACGAGAGTAGTGAGAAGTCATATTGACAGCAAAAATGAGTGTTATATCAGAACGGAAATACCGCCGCGGCGAGCAGTCCACCACGAAGACGGTAGAGCCCGCGAAATGTCAGACATGGCGATGGCTTGACTTTTGAAGAGGTGGGAGACTTTAAAATAACCATTGAGATCCCAATGTTGGCTAGAACGGTGGCTAGACGTTTGGGGCCAAAAGTCTAAAATCGCCGCCAGCAGGCCAGAGAGTTAGTAGACACTATCCACTCTGGTAAGCTAGGGTTTGGAGTTGATTGGAGCGAAATGATCTAGGATTGCGCCAAAGGGCTTGTGCGAAGGCCAAATACGGCCGCGACTGGATCGATTGACGGAAACTCATGCATGTGGCCAACCACGGGTGAGGAAGGGGTGCTGAAGGGGTTTAGGCCCAGCGCTGTGGTTGCAATCTCGGCATCTGATCTAGCGAGGGATTAGTAACAGGGCGCCTATTGCTGTTGTGATAGCTTTAATGCTTGGAAGCTGTGAGGTGTTTGTGTGAGTGATTGAGCATTGCCCGTGGCACGACGGACAAGACGGAGAGATTAGGTAAGTCAATTTTGAGTTGGGACACGGTGCTGTCAAGGGTCTATGTTGCGTGTAAGACTTTGGGTCAATACTGAGAACACACAAGCTCGAAAGGGACCTAGCACTGGTGGTACGAGAAGACGATGAATAAGGCACGACGAGGTTGTGTGTGATTCAGGCGAAACTGGTCCGTCCGTCGCCTTACGACGCTAAACCATAAATGGCAATTTTAGCCCCAATTAGTCTAGTGGTCGTTGAGGCCTGGGGTGGCCTTATAGCCTTGGCAGAAGACTTGGCACGAGCCTGGGCAGAGGATATGGCGCGTGAAGTGCTTCAGCTTGTGGAGGAGGCGTTGCTTTCGAGACATTCAGGCCGTCAACCAAAACACCAGCCCCTTGAAGATGCAATTCTATAGTACTTTTGCGCCTTCGCTAGCACATTTTAGACCTTTCGAAGGAACATGATCGCCACAACATTGATTAATCAACCTCATCCGTAGTCGGCCAGAGGGGGCGGGCCAGCGTTGGCAAGTTTAGCTCCTGCGCCGTCTAGATATCTCGAAACTCCTAGACAGCAGATTTCTGCCCCTACTCGGCCCCCACACAGAAGGGTATACTCGGTACGTGTCGACGAGGCTAGGACCGTTATTTAGAGGGTCAAGGTTGGGCGGCCTCAAGGCTGCACAATGCCCCTTTTATTGATCATGTGATTGAACATGTACCATATACCGATTCGCATCCAGCTTCTCATCTTATCATTCACCGCTGGACAGTGGGACAGGATCAACATGAACGCAACGTCTTTTCGCAGATTGCTCTTGTAGATCGACTGTCACAAGCACCTAAAAGCCGAGGGTCAACCCGATTGGAAGGCCATTCGTGGTCACGTGAAAGTGGTACGATGGACTTGATCGTTTGATGACAGGAAGATCTTCATATTAAAGCGCGTATAACCGTAAAGGCATCAGAGGATGCTTAGAAATGCCTCCCCTCATCCCTTTTTGACCAGTAAATCAAAGACAACTCGACAATTCTAAAGCGCCAAGTATCAACGTTTTCGAACTCTTACTCTAATGCCGCACGACGCCCACGGACACCGTGACTCGTCGCACCACGGTCACCATTCCAACCACACGGACATTGGGACGACCATCGACAATATCATATCGAATCTCAGCGAGATTGCCATCATGGAAGAGACCGAGCCCAGTGGCAAGGAGAGATATGTGTTGCAGGACCGAGACCGTGACGAGGACGAAGATGACGAGTAAGTGAAAACAAACCCAGCTCAACCAATATTCAGCTACACACCATCACTCTCCGCTACAAACAGATATTAATGATGGCACGGGAAAAGCTACGTGTGGGCTCCTACCAACAAGCCGACCGTGAAACCCTTTGACGGAGACCTCAGACGCCAGTATCTGGCCTACATCGACAAGATTAACTCCAGCAGTTGCGGCCCTGGAGATCTTGACGAATTCGTCAAGCACGGCGTGGTCCACAACGACTCGGCGCCCATGGCGGTTGATGAATACGCAAGGCTCATAGGGGACAGCAAGAGAGACCTCCCCGGGCTTCACTTTGCGGTGGACATGCTCGTCGTGGAGAACTTGAAGACCACCTCCACTACCACCACCACCACTAGCGTTTCATCTCCCTCTGACCCTGGTGGCGACAAACACGATGGCTCGATCGCCGCCAGGATCAAGTTAACCTACAAGCCCACGCCGACCACGCAGGACACGTTTTGCGAGCACGTCTTCTACGCCCTCGAACAAGGCAAGATCTCCAGGGTTTGGAGTCTGTTGGACGGGGCGGGACTGAAGTGGAAGGAGAAGAGGGACCAACAACAACTCGACGAGGTTTCTGGGCAGAAGAAAGAGGGTTTAAACAAGTAAATTGAGTCACTCAGATCGTTTCTAACTATGACTGCCGCTCGGTGAAGTTCTTACCGAGTAGTAGTACCGGTGTAACGAATATGAGGATAGCGAGGAAGGACGCATTGGTGCGGCTATGGGATGGGAGGGAAGGAAGGCCAAGCCAGCAGCTCTCTTTACACGACGTTAAGATTGGGACGACCGATAATTGACATTGGCTTCAAACAAACATTGCTTGTATCACTACTACTACTTAGTAGTACTTAGTAGTTTTGTGCCATTGAACTTGTTGGCAAGGTAAAGTACTTAGTAGGTTATTCTGTACAGAGGCCCGGATTCGGTCTAGCTCATTTTCGGATTTACCCATTTAGGATAAATGGGTGGCGCGTTTACCATGGAAAATGAAACGGCTCTTCTCACAAAGGTCGGCTTGTTGGCAACCAAACAACTCTTACATGTGCTATCAACGCATCAAAGTGAAACAAGTTGAAGAACTTCGATTAACGTGTTAGATACTAGGAGTTCTCTCTTATGCTCATGTCTGTCACGGACTTTCCAAGATTTGCGTCTGATGGATTACTATCAGGCAGATGAACTCCCTTTCCCAAAAGGTTTGTTTCAAGCACGCTGTGATTATTTTCAATGGCAAACCTCAGAGCTTTGACACCACAGTTGGCGGCATTGAGATCCAGTCCATGTTCCCAGAGGCAATCCAACACTTCGATGTAACGCGACATTGTCTCGTGGTCGCTGCAGCTTGCCTTGGCTGCGAGCAGGAAGTGACCGGCAGCCAAGGCATGACCGTACTCGTCAATGGTAGTCACTCTTGTAAGCAACGTGCGAAGCACGCTTGCCCTTCCATTTACGCAGGCTGCCCGCACAGCATCAAGGTCACTCTGAAGACTGTGCCGCGCTCCATGGTCGAGCAGTACCTTGACCACTTCGAATTGTCCACGGGCTGCCGCAAGAGACAGGTGCGATCTCCCTCCCTCTGTCTCATTCACATCGTAGCCCATCTCGACAACGATCGGAATCAGCTCCGGAACGTCGTATACCACAGCAAGATGCACGACGAGGTGCTGCACGGAACCTTTGGTGTTCCGAGGTACTGTTCGTAAGAAAAGACGGATGATTTCGATACTACTTGTGTCATCAGTTTGGCCTACCGCGAGCTTCCGCACGATCGACCAAAGAAGTCTATCACAGTCTGCTGCATCGAGTTTGAGGCCATACTGGGGCTCAAGTAGCAGCGTAACCATTCTGACATCACCCGATAGACAAGGTTGTTCGATGAGCATTCGCTCGTATTTTGGTGAACAATGTGCATGATTATGTGGGGCGTTGACATCCGCACCGTGGTCCAGGAGATACTGGACCATGTCGTACCAATGACTGGTCACGGCAAAGCGTAGGGGATCGGCACATATATTCTTCCGAACGCTCATATCAGGCAGTTGTTCCACAAGAGTTTTGATGGTGGCAGTGTCTTTCATGGAAATTGCCGTCACGATAGCCCAAGAGAGGGAGTCGATCTGCCGCGGACTTCGGGTGAGACGAGCCAGCGGCACGCACAGTGGGATTTTGTCACCGGCCAGGAAATCGAGAACTCCAAGCGCGACCACGGATGCAGCCTGAGATGCGCGACCTCCTGGCTCTAGTCGTATTGTGCCATTGACTGTGTGGACATATCTTGCTTGGCAACTGTCGGGGACATGGAATGTGGGTGTCGATAATAGGATTTTAACAGCATCTTTTAGGTGTGCAATAAGGGCGGTTCTCGGTTGTCGGGCACATATCTGTCCCTTCAATAATCGGTATAAGTGCTGGAGACCCATTCTTAGTGTTATTCGATCCGTATCCTCGTCCATGCTGGTGTGAATGTTGCCAAAATCAAAGTACTGAGCCTGAATTTCACGATCGAAGAGACCTGCCAGAAACCGTGTCATTGGGCACATTCCATTGAGATGAATTGACGGACTTCCCGAGACGACCTACGGTTGACACATCGAAGACGTAGTCCTTCTTTCCATGACGAGTTGTCTGCGACCAGCCCAATAATCATAGAGTGTACCTCGGGTGGCAAGATGCCGAACGACATGGCTGCCGAGTCTAGCTGATCCAGACCATAAATTGAGTGTATGCGGAATGTACTTGCCAGGTTGGAAAGAAATCAAGAGAAAAGGCATAAAAGAAAGATCACATTACTCTGGGTTTTTGTCGGTGGCCATTTGTAACAACGTACTAGTAGTAGTTGAAGAATCCAACTCCGACTTCGCAAGTGCAACTGTGAAAGGAAGGCGAGAATGAAATCATATTGCCGAATGACAGTCTAACCATTTTAGGTTACGTTATAAAATCAGCCTTGTAGACTCACGAGGCTTCCACAGGGGTACCAAAGACTACTAATTCCCAACCCTCGGCTGCTGTCGGCGGATTGTACTTATTCCTCGTACATAGTAATATCAGATAGTGTAGTAGTATGATCCGTCAAAGGATCATGGACCAGATATGCATGCAGCCTCTGAGAATCTCTCGCCAGATAGTATTAATATTTCCTACGCCCCAGCGCGAGGCTCTGGGATAGAGTGTCAGCCTGAGTATTATGGCCCGGGGTCCTTCAACAAACGGTGACTATCGCAGAAATTTACATCTGCAGCTGCTGATAAAACGCCGCCGAATTGATAAATGCACATCGTTCCAAAAGCCGAGGCTCCACTGCAGCTTCACCATTTGACGACAATTGCGCTTGTCCAGCGCGAGGACCGCCAATGACTCTAATGCTCGCACCTGTCACATTCTGACTCGTCACTGCAGCCTGGGTCCTGTTAAAGGCTTGAGTCCAGCCGGAGAGAGTGATAGCAGAATCGCCACTCGGATTCCCTGTTGCGGCAAAATGAGCCCAACTACCCGACATCCTGGTTGCAGTCACGTTCGCCGCGGCCGTAGTTCCAAAACCGACGTTGGGTTGGTTAAAGACGAAAGGTACATCGGAAAAATGAATGACTCCTTCGAAGCTCGCATTGAAAAGTTGCAGCACGCTGCTCAATGAAGTCGTGTTGAGCACATACAGGTAGCTTGTGCTGCCAAACCGAGTAACGTGATGAGATATATCAATCGATGGACAAGCAAAATTGATGTCGCGGTAGATCTGAGATGCTTGCAGGAAATAAGGTGAGATCTGGGTGGCTTGGGCGACCGCAATGAAGTCGCTGATTGGGTACATTGAGATCAGCGTTGATAGCATAGTCGAGTTGAGATGCGGATACGATGAATTCAGAAAAGCCTGTGCAGCAGAGGACCCATTTAGCGTTGGAGGCACGAAGATGCTGCCGTCGTTTTCATTCCAGCCAGCAATAATGGAGATGTTTTTGTGAAACCGACCTGTGCGGATCAAATTCGAGGGAGCGGCCGGTATATAGCTTCCGTCAACAGTTGGGAAGAATAAATCTTGAGATGCACCATTAGCTTCGGCAGCGGTAGTTGAATTCTCAAATAAGAGAACGGCATTCAGGAGCTGGACCATGGATATCTCTCGGAGACAGTCCAAGACTAGACTGCTATTTGTCCCTGTACAGCCTGCCAATTGAGCCACCGCCGCAGTGTTCGTGGAGGTCGCATTTCCAGTGACACCAGGATCGCTCGCTGCGGCCCCAGACTGCATGATAGCACGCCGGAAGGGAGCAGTGCCTGTTGGTAATGTCTGAATTAGCATCTCAATCGGCAGCTGGCCGCCAATTCTTACCGTTCCCGCCAAAGGACGTCATATGCCTATTGCACGTTAGTTTCGACAAGCTAAGAGATATAACTCTCCGGGTACAGTTCTGTCAAGGGTAGGCATCGGTCGCTGGGTACACTTACAAGCCCACGCTTACGCCGCCGTCACTTTCGCCAAATATTGTGACATTCTTTGGATTTCCTCCAAATGTTGCGATATTGGACTGGATCCACTGCAGTGCCAGCCGCTGGTCGAGCAAACCAGCATTCAGCGACCCTTCCGTCCTAAGCGCGGGATTGTTGGCGAATCCAAAGATATTGACACGGTAATTCATCGACGCATATATCACCGGCGTGCCCTTGGTAGCAGCACCTGTCACGAGCGCTGTAGGGTTGTATAACGAGTAGTTGTATGAACCTTCTTCATCACCTTGGCCAGATATCCAGACCATTACAGGAAGATTTGCATCTTGCTTTGTTCCGGCAGGTCTCACAACCTCAAGGTTCAGACAATCCTCCGAGACATTGAAAACGCCAGGATTCTCGCTGATGGCACCCAGGAAAGACAAGATGGTGTTCTGCGGACAAGCAGCGCCTGCAGCTGTGGCCTGGATGGTGGTACCTGTGGGATAGGTGAAGGCTTTGGGTGGCTTGAAGCGGTTGGCGCCAGATGTGTCCTGCCCAAAGTTGATGCCCTGAAACTGTTCGGTCCCTGCGAAGGTGAAACCTACATAGGTGAGATTGTGGGCTTTGTCGCGCACCGTGACTGTGGATTGAGCAGCGATAGTTGAAACATAGAATACAAAGAGAAGCATAGGTAGCAACATTTTTCTCGTGAATCGCGAGTGTTCGGTAACGGAATTTCAGCTTCAATCCAGGACACCCGGCAGAGGACTAGCTTTTATTCCCGAGAAGAGAGCTAGAGCTTCATTTGCAGCCGCTGACGTGTGCGGACTCGTCAGCTTTTCGTATGAGAACTTTCATGGCGGTTCATTCAAGGCACAGACAAGTGAGGCTGACCACCTCGCGCTGCATGGCGACGGCTCTGTAGTCTGGGAAGTCTAATAGCGGTACTAAGGGGCCTTAGCTTTGGAGGGGATGCTTCGTGGCTCGGAGTTGTTGGAAGGCCGCATATTGACGGAGAGGGATGGGAACTTCCCAGGTCTGGGGCAACATGCTCAAACAAGATTTCGAATCAACGCAGACGACGGCCTCTCAATTGACTCGAGAGGAGAAATCCTTGGTCAAGCTTGTTCAGAAGCTAAGGCGTGAAAAGGTGGGGTTAGGTAGCTGGCCTTATTACCGAGGGGACGAGGGGGGTCAGATCCACAGCCTGAGTGTACGCAGGATAATATGCACAGGAGCAACACGTTGAGGGCTTCCGTTGGTGCTCTGTACCGTGGCAGGAGGTGGGTGGGAGGACCAGTGGTCACCAAATGACCTCAGTTGGCGGTGTGGAGCTCGGTACAACTTCGGGTAGTAGAGGCTTGAAATTTTTGACCATCTTTTTCGATCGAGCGCCATAGCACTGTAAAGCGTCTAACTCACAAGATAATTTTGGAACAATGGAGAGCCTCGTTGAGAATGGCGACGGTCAACTCACCATCCAAAATCTTCCACCTCCCACCAAACGAAAACGTACGAGCACAGGGCCTTTGACCACCGAAGACAAGGAAAATCAGAAACGAGTGGCCGACGCACGCAGGAAATATGGCCGAGGGCGCCCTGTTCGAGTGAACGAGGTCAAGGATAAGAAATTACGGGCGAATCTGAAAAGAATCGAGACCAAATACCGTACTGCAGCTTTGAATGCCAAAGATGCGGAGATACTGTACGAGAACGAGGAGGGATTTCTGCAACCAGAGACGGAACTTGAGAAGACATACAAGGTCCGGCAAGAGGAAATCCTGGATGCGGTTGGTCTCCAGCAAGCACACAAGTCCATCGAATTCAGGCTTGATCTGGGGCCATACGTCTCCGACTACACGAGGAACGGGCGCAGTTTGCTCCTCGCGGGCAGAAAAGGCCATATTGCGACGTGCGAATGGCGCGCAGGCAAACCAGGATGCGAGTTACACTTGAACGAGACAGTAAGAGACGCGAAATGGCTACACAACGATCAATATTTTGCTGTGGCACAGAAAAAACACACTTACATTTACGATCATGCGGGAGTCGAAATCCATTGCCTCAGAAAGTATGTCGAGACCACGCATCTCGAATTCCTCCCATACCATTTCCTCCTTGCCGGCATCGAGAATAGTGGATTCCTTCGATACACGGACACATCAACTGGCCAGATAGTGGCTGAACACCCAACCCGAAAAGGGCCACCGACTGCCCTTGCTCAAAATCCCTACAATGCTATTCTCCATGTCGGTCATCAGAACGGTACAGTCTCACTCTGGTCGCCCAATTCTACGACGCCACTGGTCAAGATCCAATCAAACGTTGGTCCTGTGCGGTCAATAGCGGTCGACCGTTCAGGTAACTACATGTTGTGTGGTGGACAAGATCTACGTTTGAAACTCTGGGACATCCGGACGTGGAAAGAGATACATTCTTACTCAACACGACAACCCGCGTCTTCGATAAGTATATCGGACCGCGGCCTTGCGGCTGTAGCAAGTGGTACAGCTGTGACGATCTGGAAAGACCTCCTCACCACCTCACCATCATCCGGACCTCCGAAGGTCCAGTCCCCCTATCTCAATTGGGGCAACGACGGCCACCGTGTCGAAAACGTCCAGTTCTGTCCATTCGATGATATCCTCGGGATCTCGCACTCGGAAGGGTTTAGCAGCATCATCGTCCCCGGGGCTGGCGAACCCAACTACGACGCCCTCGAGGTCAATCCATACGAGACGCGCAAGAAGAGACAAGAAACCGAAGTCAAATCTCTCCTCACCAAACTCCAACCAGAGACTATCGCTCTGGACCCCAATTTCATCGGTACGCTGGACGCACGCAGCGCGGAGCAGCGCAGGCGCGAAAAGGACCTCGACGCGCCCGCGGAGGACCCCCTGGCCAAGTTGAAGGCGAGAGAGAAGAACCGGGCCAGAGGGAAGAATAGTGCACTTAGGAGGTACTTACGGAAGAAAGGTGGGAAGAATATCATCGACGAGAAGCGGATGAGACTGGAGGAGATGAAGAAGGAGAGAGCCGAAAGGGAGAAAGAGAGACTCAAGCAGGATAAACTCGAGTTGGGGCCGGCGTTGTCGAGATTTGCTAGGAAAGGGGTGTAGGATTGTCACGGTGAATGGTAGTCCAAATCGCACAAACAGACATGATATATGTATATGTATGTCTGTCCTCCGCAAAGATCCTCCTTTTCCTACTATCCCGCCTAGTAAAGTGCCGTAATGTCCTTTAGTTCCTTCCATGCCCGACAGCCCAGCTGTTGTGAATGAATAGCGACTCCGAGCATTCATAATCATATCACTAACGCATGTTACCTTGAACCAGCGAATACACTTGTATACCTGTTCACAGCGGGCTGTTCGCCGCTTCCCCTCGGTACGCCCTTGGCCCACTGCTCCTTGCTTCGCTGATAGCCCGCGGTGCTCTTCCACGCAGACAGGATCAAATCGACCGTCTCGTGGACGCCCACGCCGTTCTTGATGACGGCTCTCACGACGGGCCCGCCCTCGCGCATCTTATTCGCCTCCCGCTCCATCAGATCGACGTCCGCGCCCACAGCGTCGGCCAAATCGCACTTGTTGATCACGAGCAGATCCGAGCCCGTGATGCCCGGGCCACCTTTACGGGGCACCTTGTCCCCCCCAGCGACATCGATAACGTAGATAATGAAATCGGCCAGCTCGCGCGAGTAGTTTGCCGCGAGGTTGTCGCCGCCGCTCTCGATCAGGAGCAGGTCGGTCTGGAATTTTGCGTGGAGGCCCTCGAGCGCGAGGAGATTGGCCGATATGTCCTCGCGGACGGCGGCGTGCGGACATCCTCCCGTTTCTATCGCCACGATCCTCTCCGGCGTCAACGCGCCGTGCTTCGTCAGGAACTCGGCGTCCTCTCTTGTAAAGATGTCGTTTGTCACGGCCGCGATATTGTATTCCTTCCGGAGGGCTAGACAGAGCTCGAGCATCAGTGCTGTCTTTCCTGACCCGACTGGCCCACCAATCCCGATTGTGAACGCGCGATCGCTAAAGTCGCGGCCCTCCACTATGGGCATTTCGCGGTGCAGATATGAGCCCGGCCCGTCGAGGATCTCATGCGTGTGGCCATGGTTCGCCCCATTTGTGTGGTCGTGGGAGTGAGAGTGAGAAGGCCCGCCGTCGTGAGAGTGGCTAGCCATGTTGGGAACGAGGGAAGGAAGGATTATTGGGAAGACCCCGGCTGCTCTAGCCGACGGCTAGAGAGGTGGTTTTCTCTGAGGCGCGAGGTTAGGATTATATACCGTTATCGCAGATATCGATGCTCGGAGCAACGGACGGGCAAGCGGAATGGTTGAACTCAAGTGGCAGTGCAGGTATCGTTGGGAGGATCTCGTCTCGGTTACTAACGCGAGAGGCTCGAGGAGCTCGTGAGGTGGAAATGTGATGAGTATTGTTCTTTCAAGAAAAGTTGACTGTGCACGAGGAATACTTCTCTCTGCAGTTACCAAAGGATGAACAAGCTTCAGAGGGGCAACGCAATGGACATACATGTACCCCGCACAAAAGTGTCCGCAGGCTATCGAGCAGGCTGGGATAACATCAACTTGACAATCCGCACGAATAGATTTGATGATCAATCCGGAAAGAACAGGAGTCAGGGTCGTCATAAGGAAGTACATTTTCATTCATAGCAGCAAGACTTGACCGAAGCATCGTAAAAATGGCGATTGTACATATCGTCCTTTTCAAACTCAAATCTGCACTGAGCGAAACCGAGAGAAAAGAGGTTGGACTTGACAACCGATGCATTGGCAGACCATAGTTAACAGAAACAGTTTTGCGATGATATGCTGTCACTGAAAGACACTTGTATCCATCCAACATCAAACAAGCCATATATTGTCTCCTCATCAGGCGGAGTAGACAACAGCCCGGAAGGTGCTCAGGTTCGTCCAGTCCCGCCACTCATTCGCGAAGTCGAAAGACGGGGACTGACCGACTGAAAAGGGAGGATTCACCCATGGGTTTGTTGTCGAGTTCGCTTCGAAGGAGGATCGAGACTATTATGTTGCCACCGATCCAATACACCAAGCATTTGTCAAGAAGAACGGACCCAGATTCGACGATGTCCGGGTAATCGACTATGAAAAGGGTGTGTACTAGGGGATGCTCATGGTTCTCAATAACGGGCTGCCATATAGAGGGATTGGCTGTACAGGGTCTTGACCATTGTATTGGCTCTCGTAAATATGTCCTGCTGGGTTCGGAGCATTCGATCCATTTGTCTATTATGAGACGCTAAATGACTCGCCACAACCGCATTGCTCAGTGATATTGGGGTTCTTAAAGACGAACCTGGCACTCAGCTTGTCTTCCTGCCAGTCCATTTCACTGCCGATGATGCTGAATAGTGCTTTGCTGTCAATTAGGACTTTAACCCCCTCTTGCTCAACAATTTCATCAAAGGCAGCGGGCTTGTCCACATATTCCAGGTGATATGCGAGGCCTGAGCAGCCACGATTCTTGACACCAACCCTGATCATCTTGGGATTGGGTTGATCCAGAAGTTCGCGTAGATGGACAAGCGCATTGGGTGTTATGGTCATGGCGGCCTTCCGAGGCCGTAGTTTACTTCGCCGGGGTTTCGCTGTTTTGGTCTGCTCGGGTTGCGCCGTCTGTACTGGCTTCGGTTTCTGTGCCACTCTTTCTGGTACGCTTATACTTGCAGCTTCCTCTAGTGTGTTCTGCTGTACGGCGTCTCTTTTGTCTTGTCTCTTTTCACTGAGTTGCGGGTTGGGTCCAGCGATCGAGGTGTCAGGGATGTTGGTGTTTCTAGGAGGGAGAGGAAAATCGGCAGGCAGTGTATGGGGTTGATAAGACGGCGCAGTGTATAACTCTCTCTTCGATGATTGTCGAGGGGCTATACTGGAAGAGAAGGTCCTCAACGAATGGTGCGGACATGCTCTCGCGACCGAGGCAATTGCCAGAGCCCGGAAGAAGAGAATGGATGAAGACGTTGCTGGGATAAATTGTGTCGTCGACATTTTAGAGGTCTGTCGTAAGTGCGCCGTTTTTCGGTACTGAGGAGAGGCTCTAGAACTGGAGGAGTATGAGTGTACGGGGTATGTATATCTTGAACATGGAGGCGCAGGTTGGGGAGGCAGTTCCGTCATTCTCTGCATCCCAGTTTGTCAGCCGACTTCGCTCCAGCAACCAGCCAATCGGCGGCGGCTGATTTCAACACTCACGTGACACGGTAATGTTAACACGTGACAGCATATTTTTACACGTGACACAGATAATGCAACTTTTTTGGTCTGATATGTTTCTTTATCTGCCTAGTGCTGGACGTAGACGAGGTAGACACATATGGAACGTGATGGCCTGGGCTCAAAACAAGTGCTGTCCGTGAGTGACTTGCTCAGCAGACAAATATCTCTGCACTTCTGACACTGGCATCAGCCAATTGTGTTGTCGCCATCAATCACATTTGCAGGCTAAACAGGTCAACGCCGTCAGTCCAACTTTGCATATTTCGTTCAATTCTGCCGCAGCCTTCGATCATTTCTCTTGCCACCATAGTACCAACTTTCGCCTCAACCAAAGATTATGAGATCGGATTGGCTCCGCAACTAATTCAGCTCTGGACTCCTACCATCGCCATGGAGACTCCCTTGACCCAACAAACGAGGCCAGACTCCTTCGAACCCAAAATCATCCAACTCTACCTCCATCTATTCAATGTTCTCGCAAATGAGGATGGTGATGAGTCGGTGCCATCTGAGGGGTTCTGGCGGGAGTTCTTCCTTCACAAGCCTGACAAGCAGCGTCTCTATGATATTCTCGAGCCCATGACAGCTTTCGACCTTGTCCATATGCAAGTATAGTCAGCTCTCACGCTTGCATCGGCCCATTTCCCACGTCTAACGGCTATTTAGACGCAGATGAGGGTATTCTTCAAACGTGCCATAACTGAAGCGGGCTCGGGAGATTCCTCCCGGAACGAAAATGCTTTTGACGTACGTTACTCTTGAATTTGCTCCTGATTAACGCATTGAAATTGACACCTTTAAGAACCTGACAGCTTTCCTGTGCGCCGTATTCACGAAAAAGTACACCAACCCCAATACCGATGTGATCGAAGTACTTTCCGGGCTGGACACGATTGATAGGTCAATGTCTGATCTCGTCCACATCCTTGAAACAACCATTCGCCAGGCGGACAAGGATTCGTTGCGAAGCAAAGCACTTGATACTGCCCTTGCACTGGTTGCCGGCGGCTTCCACTCAAGTCTGGTCACCTATTTCATGCACCGCGATCTCTTTTCGGCGTTGATGAAGGTAGGCACATTCCCTCTGACCAGAAGTTATTCTCATCTTCAATCCAGTATGTCCACGATATACCCGAATCTCCCACAACCAGCCTCAAAGCATCTATGGTCATTGGCATATTGTCCAGTTACAACAAATTCGAAGCTCAAAATGTGTACCAGAACCGGCTAGAAGACTTCGTCAACGAGGAAACAATCAGACTTCTGGTTCGCAATTTTGCCATTGCATGTCTAGTCATACGTGACCAGTATGTGTCTGTTCAAGATGATTATCCTGTACCGTGGAGTTTGAATTCGACGCTTGTCATGGTTGGACTTCGGTCGTTGTCAACTGACGCAAAGAAAGCAGCACCTCCATCAGAAGAGGAAGCCAAGGCTATGCTCCTTTCTCTACCCGGGGAAGATGCCGCCTGTATCCTTTCGCTGTACTCTTTCACCCAAGCAAACAAATTATTTGCTGCGAATCTTCTGAATCTACCTGCCGAGAAAGATAAGGAGACACCATTTTCTGCCTTCCTGTCAATGACCTCGTATATCTCACACCATGCCTATCGTGGCCCACGACAGTCAACATACGCCGTCTTGAGCCTGCTGTCTATCAGGATCATCGTGGAAGACCCTGCATTGGTCAAAAAAATTTGTTCGCTGGATGCAAAAGCGTTATTTCGACTATGTCGTCAAAGGCCACCTCACCTTCCATTGGTCACATCTGTAAGGATCCCTGCGACTGCCATTCTGGATGTATGTACCGATATTCTTAGCCACAACCTAAGAAAGAGACTGGACGTCCGCCTGTACAGCCTTGCGCTGGGTATCATACTACGTATCGTTACCCACCTCGAACAGACCAAGACACGCCTTCAGCATCATTGGGCGTATATTTGGGGCTCGCTCTTGTCACTCATGCGGTTTCTCACGCAGTATGCCGCTGACCTGAAACACCTCAGAGACATTCGGGAAGACTTGTGTGCGACGCTTGCGAGTCTAACTGCATTCTGTTTGGCAAAGGGTGACGGTTTTCTACCTGATCCGGCCAGTTTCGATGACTTTTTCTACAAGCTCATTGAGGGGAACGAAGTTCTGTACAGATTCAAACAATCATATTGCGATGGGGGTCCCCAGTCCGACACCCTGAAGCGATCGGTCGAGGCCCTGATTAGCGTCTCATCTCATTATCACGAATTATTGAAAGCACAGCATGGCAAGAAGACGCATCAGTCGCCAGCCGCGATTCAGAAGGTCATCAAAGAAGGTTATGAGACGTTGAACCTAGAAGCTGATGAAGGGTTCGGCCGATGGGAGAAGTGGCGTGAAAGCGATTGGAAAGCCGAGCTGAAAAAGATGATCAGAGTTGCTGTTGAAGACGCCAGAATCTTTGCGCTGAGGTGACAACCGGACGCAGGATATTGTGGTAAGGCGACTATTAAGTGCGTCGGCTGCGAGCATCGTGCCCAACCCGTTGACACGGCTAGTTTGAAGGATGTCTCTGCCTTCACACTTGGACTATGCGGAGGAGGAGGTGCTGATGTGCTACGACCCTCTGTGACAAGTCCAACCACGCCAGATTGATAAAGTGGGTTCTACCGAGCTACAAGCTCGTGGACAGGGGAATCAACAAGTAAGCGTGCGACATGAGATTTATGGGCTGCCGTGGGAAAGGCCGAATGGTGCTCGCTCTGAGCGTCACTAGGTCAAGTCCCTGTCTCAAGTCTCGATATCAGTCCCGGCAGCCTGGCATCTGTGACGGTGTCGAATTTTCAATGGCAACAAGACCACAGCGTCGGGGACGGATTGGTACGATATATTGTCAAGAGTGTACATCCCATAGCTATGATGATGCCTCAGTTGTCGTGGAACAAGCTGACACAGACACGGATACTATCACGTGGACCCCACGTGGAATCGCATCCCCTTGTACCCTTTATCGAGCACCATGAGTAATTAATTACTAGGTAGCTCATCCTCAATAGTCCCGCTTCCTGTAAAGCCTGTCAACTGCCAACCTCTTAGCGCCGGAGTCCAACAACCCCGCTATCGGAGCCCCTTTTTCTCCTACTGGCGTCCGCCACGAGGCTCCAAACTCACCACCGCCTCAGATAGTCTCATCAACGGACTTTGCGTGGATTTCTGTCCCAAGGTGTACACGTACGTACTCGTACGCACATCCGATCCAAGGAAAATCGAGCGGCGCGCAAAATCAACAGAACGGTATGTGTACGCGGATGAAGCCCGCGGAGGAAAGTTCTGCTGCTTGCCAGACATAGGCAGGTTTCTTATGCAGGACTGGGACGGGAAAGCAGGGCCGGGGGAGGGGGGATATTTTGTCTTGGAACAAACCCCAAGCACAAAAATGGGTATTCGATACAGATAATATTATTATCACCCAGGCATGTCCCAAAAATGCATCCAAGAGACGAGACTGGTGGCTTTAGCGTGTAGCCTTACCGAGTCATTCATCTGTCGGTGAGGCGGGTCTAGAAGTGCCTGTAGGACTCAAATCATCAAAAGGAGTAAAGACAAATCTCCGAGATAGTTCTGTTTTCTCACAAAATCTCACTTTAGTACGGACAAAACGTTTGGGGTAGCGGTTCGTACAAGAGAAATGATACGCGAAGATCTCTTTACGTGTCTCGCTCTTGTGGCCTCCTCGTGCTCCTCCTTACCAAATATTGGCCCCCCTTTTGGGTGGCCCCTTTGAAGAATCGTGCAAAGCTGCCGACTCGTCAGAAGCCGAAGAGCCAGACCTAGTCCGGGCCCGAGTGTGGGAGTGTGACCGAGGGGGGCTTGGGGGGGCACCACGCGGGCGGGTGGGAAGGAGTGTGTTTCCTCGCATGTCTCGGGCATTGAGAGTTTCTGAGGTGCGGATCTAGGGCTCTCACAAAGGTCAGAGTCTCGTTCCCGGTTTGGTGTAGGAAGGAAATAAGCAAGACTCCCGAAAGAGACGGTGCGAGCAGAATAATGCTGTCGCGGTAGATGTGAAAGGGAATAGAGAAAAGAAATCATGGCCCCCAATCACTCAATCAAGTCATGTTCAGCGATTATTCGGAACCCGGGGGCGGTGAGAAGATCTCACAAGTTCCCAACGTCGACCCCAAGACCGAAAGGGCCACCTAGACATCTGCAGGTGGCTACCAGGTGCACCTTTTCGGGGTGTGATGCCCCCTGTTCATCCTCCCCCCTGTGGCTATGCGTTAGTGCCCAGCGGCCCTAAAGGTAGGCAAGGGACGGTCTCGGTAGGCACAAAGGGAAAACAGCAGGCGGTGGTGGCACCAACTGGACGGTAGGTCGTTAAGATGCCCCTCCTTCCACTAGTTCGCACCTGGAAGATCCCCGTGAACCAGTGACAAGCGCCCCTCAGCGTCGGGCCCCTGGCAATAACTGGGAGACCCTGAACGCCCCTCATTAGTGGCCGCTACGCCAACTAGGCCGATCGCCGTCCCCCACCCAGAGCATTAGCTGCGGCTGATGGACTGTTAAAAATAATATTTCCAATCGAACTTTTTTGGTGGAGGGAGGACCGAGAGGGGGGAGGGGGACACAAACAATCACCACCCCTTATCCTAACACCGTGACCTTTTTTGTTCAATAAAACTCATTTTCCTCGTCTTGACTCCCTTCTTCCTCAAGTGCTGTACATATCCCCCCCTTTTGCTCTCATCTATTGCAACCTTTTGGATACTCTTTTCCTACCCTTTGCTCAATTTCCAACACATCCCTCCACACCGCCTCCTCCAATATGTCTAAACGAAACTCGACCAGACTTGCCAATGGCGCTGCGTCCGCTGCCGACCAGCCTGTCCCTAGCTACCTCCTCACTGGCAAAGTTGCTCTTGTAACTGGATCAGGTACGTCTCAGAAAAGAGAAGGTTGAGTCCCGGTTCGAAGGCCGCGAACAGTTTTCCCCTTGGGAAAGAAACGTTCGACCTGGCTCTTCACCGCCTCTTCCCACACCCGAAAAGATGGGAGAGAAAGGAAGACAAAGGCTAACAGATTGGGCACAAAACAGGGCGAGGAATGGGTCGTGAGACTGCTCTCGAACTTGCCCGTCGTGGCGCCGACGTTGTCGTCAATTACGCCAACTCCTCCAAGGCCGCCGACGAGCTGGTCGATGAGATCAAGGCTCTCGGCCGCGACGCCATCGCCGTCAAAGCCAACGTATCCGATGTCTCACAGATTGTCGACATGTTCGAGCAGGCCAAGAAGCACTTTGGCAAGCTGGACATCGTGGTCTCGAACTCGGGTGTGGTTTCCTTCGGCCACTTGAAGGACGTTACCCCAGAAGAATTCGACCGTGTCTTCAACATTAACACCCGAGGCCAATTCTTCGTGGCCCGGGAAGCCTACAAGAACCTCGAGGTCGGTGGCCGCATCATCCTGATGGGTTCCATCACGGGCCAGGCCAAGGGTGTCCCCAAGCACGCCGTTTACTCGGGCTCAAAGGGTGCCATTGAGACCTTTGTCCGCTGCATGGCTATCGACTGCGGTGACAAGAAGATCACCGTCAACGCCGTTGCCCCCGGTGGTATCAAGACCGATATGTACCACGCCGTCTGCAGAGAGTACATTCCCAACGGCATGAACCTGTCGGATGACCAGGTCGACGAGTACGCTGCCACATGGTCGCCCATGAACCGTGTCGGCCAGCCCATTGATGTTGCCCGTGTCACCTGCTTCCTTGCCTCCCAAGACGGCGAGTGGGTGAACGGCAAGGTCATCGGCATTGACGGTGCCGCCTGCATGTAAAGTGCCAGAAACAGCAAAGACAAGAGTTTTGGATCTGACCCAGACATGACATGAGAAGACGGAATGGGTGGAGCAAGAGAGGGAGCAGTACCACAATTATTTTTCCTGCAAGAGAAGCAAGCACGCTGTGAGAGATTAGATGGGAAGGGATCCGACATGTTTTTTCCACCTGGATTGATGATATTTTATGACTCGCAAAGATTTGAATTGGTCAATGTTCAGGGAAAGGAGGAAAAAAGAGAAGGAAGCTTCTTGCGGTCGGATCGTTCTCTGCCAGCCATATATTGGGTATCTATTCATTTCTCAACCTATCTCGGGAATCCACAGCATCTGAATGCGAGCGTCTATTCGGAAAAAGAAAGTGATGTCGTTGTCCTGGTCATCGTCGTTGTCAGGCGCGGGAGTTTTACAACCTACAGAAGACAGTGCTTTACATAGCTTTAGCTTGGCAGCTTGGGTACCCAGTATTCCTATTATTCCTAGTATTATAGACAAACAAACGGGGGCCGAACTTCCATCCATTTCCGTTACAGATCTATCTATCTAGGGGAAGTGCAGTGCGTTAATTAATACGCTTTTCGACTTTCCTTTTTCAGAAAATACCAAACAAACAAACAGATAGATAGACAGTTCATTGATTACTTGCCACAGCACCTTCGTCCTCGTCTTCACCACATCCCCGCATGCTCCTCCCACTGCTCCGCCCCTGTTAGTGTTTGTGTTAGTGTTACCGTTACCGACATGCCGATTTTTTTTTCTCCTATAATTCTATCTATAAAGGTTCCCCGTTCACCGACTCGACTCAGCCAAGCAGGAGATAGGAGTCAGGAGTCAGGACTCCGGCGTTGGCGTTCTAGAATCCCAATCCCTTGCTGAACACCAAGCTATGTATGTACGTATGTACACAAATAGGTAGGAATGGGGGAGGTAATTCCCTCTCCGGGGTTTGTACTATGTACGTTTGATCTGGGGATGTGGAGGATGGTGGAGGAAGAGTGATTTCATATCCTCCCTCCCGAGTCCTGAATGTGGGTTCTTGTCCCCTGAAAGGCTTTCGGCTACGATCTCTATCTCAGACTACCACTCTCTCTCACACTTGAAAGACCTCTGTCTAGCTTCCCAGTCCTGTTGGCTTACTTCCCCCTCGCTTTCGCAATTAACCGCTCGTCCAGCGCGTACGGCTCTCCGTCTTCTGCCCCAAACACCACGTCGTCCTGCAAATACACCAGGATTCCCCGATTGCGCCTCTCGGCGTCCTGCAGGCGGAACAACAGCCGGCCGAACGCGTCGGATTTATGCGACGTCTGCAGGAGCAGGTTGTGCTCCGAACACCATTCCTCGACGAGCGATCTGAATGTCATCTCCTCCATCGCCTCAGCGAGGCCAGCCGTCGTGGTGGAGGCGGCGGTACGTGGCGCGGCAGGGGTGGCGGAGGGCAGCAGTTTGGGTTTCCTCGACCCGAGCAGCGGTTTCCAATGCGACCACGACTCGGCATCGACTTTGGACTTGACCAGGGATCTCAGTTCGGGGAACCGCTCGAGGTCGAGCGCCTCGGAAGAGATAAGCGTCCACCAGTCGAAGAGCCAGGTGTGCATGTCCGGAGCCCTACTAGACTTTTTGCTTCTGCCGCTGCCAAAAGTGCCTGGATCGAGTGACTTGGGAAATCGTTTGACAGCCTCGATTAACCGCGGAACAACGGTTTCATGTAGGATCTTGTGGACGAGGAAAGGGGGAAGTAGTGGCGTCCAAGCATCAATCAAATTGTACGCCGGGTCTGGGTCGTAAATGTCCCATTCCTTGGACAGTGCCGTGCGTATGCGCGGGTACCAGTGCAACAGGAGCAATGACTCAAAGTAGGTGGTTCGCTTGCGGTGGCGGGAAGATCTTGACTTGTCAACTTCAAGGAGCTGATCAATCGACTTCAGGGACTCAAGGAGGTGAGTGGGATCAGAAAGAGGATCCCATTCAACCATTTCACGCCTGAAGGGGGTTTCGAGGCAGGAAGCAGTGAGTTCAGGAAGCGAGAGCTCAGAGATATAATTGACAAAGCGGACTTGGATATCCTGTAGGCGGGTTATAGAAGAGCTCCAGTTCCGAGGTTCATTCGAGTCGTCCACATTGACCCGCTCAAATGCCGAAATGATGTCGTTGTAGCGTTGTATTTCTTCTTCGTGCAATGCCAATGCAGCGCCCAGCTGCATTTGTTCCTGCTCCAGATGGGTTTCTTGGTCCTTTGTCGAGTCCCAAGCGTCGGCAAAAGCCTGCAACTGGAGCTTTATGCGGGAAGTGGCTTTTGCAGCTTCGAGAGCCGGTGATGGTGAGGCTTCTCTGGTAGGCGTCGAGAAGCCCGACAAGGAGGTAACAGTCTTGGTTTCGGCTCCAGTTGCATCGACAATGATCTGTTTCATTGCCTCGGGGACGTGGAGGCCCCTCGATTCGATTGCGGTGACAGCATATTTGGCCTTCGGGGGTGCCTTGATTCGTGGTGTGCTTGTGCCGGGTGTCGAACCTTTAGAAGAGGTCTTGTCCTTCCCTGCGTCTTGTTTCCTGCGAGCAGGTTCTGGTGTGCCGCTTCCCTGACCCAAACCAGCCCGACTCTGTAGTACTTTGGCCTGAATAGGTGCTGTGATTCCTTGTCCTGACTTCCCTAGACCTTGACCTTCGACATACCCTTGTTTGGCCATCATCCGTGCCGCAAAGGAATTTTTGTTCATGCGGCCACCGACACCAAATGCTGAGGGACCCATGCGGACAGGCTTTTCTGATTGTCTTTGGGGAGACATGTCCATGGGCGAAGTGTCTCTTTCTGCCCTTGCTTCGTCGTCGTTGTATTCGCCTATATTGAAGGCGGTTCGAAATCCACTCATACCAGCGCCCATTCCCAGGCCCATACGCATGGAAGGTCTTTCGTCGTCAACATCTTCTTCATCTTCATCTTCTCCGTCTTTTGCCTCGTCCTGCCTCTCCTCTTGACCAGTAGATTTGACGAACCCCAGCCCACGATTGCGCAATATCTTTGTCGTCTTCCTTCTTTTATGTGGTCGCTCATCGTCAGATTCATCGTCCTCGTAGTCGCGAAGGTTGAAGGGTTGATCGTCTTCCGAAGAGTCGCTCATGTTGCCACGGCATCAGGATCTAGGGCGGAAAAGAAGGCTGTCTTTTGAGGGCTGTTTGTCGGTATGAATGGTCTGGGCAAAATGACATCGCATGCGCAAGATGTCGCGTGTAGTAGAAGATGTCGTGGCACATGCAAGAGAGTTGTCGATCTCCGATCTGATCTGCCTGCGCATAAAAAGTTCTGGGCAACTCCATCGTGGAGGCCGAAATTCGTACGAGGATTTCCGGAATAGGCACAGTGATGTAATTCGGTGCAGCTCCATTTCGAACTCTCCAATTCCAATAAACACCGGCTACGGAGCACCTCATCATTCAGTTTCAACTCCCTTTCTCAGAAGTCTCTGCCTCTTCTGTACCTGGTCAATTGGTTGCCTTTTCACAGCAATTGTCTCAAACATGGCCTCGCTATTCCGCTCTGTCGCCCGTCCCTCCACCCTCAGAGCTATTGGAGCTACCCATCCTGCCCGATGCCTGACTACGGCCGATAAAACCTTTATTCGGACGAAGGCAACCCTTCCAGACCTTTCCTGTAAGTGAAGCCTTCGAAAGATCCATCGCATCTACCTCGTCAAGCCAAGCTGACACCTCAACCAGACGACTATGGTGCCCTGGAACCCGCCATCTCCGGCAAGATCATGGAGCTGCACCACAGCAAACACCACCAGACCTACGTGAACTCCTACAATGATGCCGCAGACAAGTACGCTGCCGCCGAAGCAAAGGACGACATTGCTGCGAAAATTGCTCTCCAGCCGCTGATCAACTTCCACGGCGGTGGCCACGTCAATCACTCCTTGTTCTGGGAGAACCTCGCACCCAAGAACTCCGGCGGCGGCGAACCCCCTTCGGGAGAGCTGGCAAAGGTGATTGATACCACATATGGGAGCTTGGAAGAGCTGAAGAAGAAGTTCAATGCAGCTTTGGCCGGCATTCAAGGTTCTGGCTGGGCTTGGCTGGTCAAGGACACCCAGACCGGCAACATCTCGATTCAGACATATGCGAATCAGGATCCGGTCGTCGGCCGATACAAGCCATTGCTGGGCGTTGATGCGTGGGAGCATGCTGTAAGAGGAAACCCATGTCATTCTGCAAGGTCTTGGAGTTGCTAACAATACCCAGTACTATCTCCAGTACCAGAACCGAAAGGCCGAGTACTTCAGCGCCATCTGGGATGTCATCAACTGGAAGGCTGCTGAGAAGAGATTTGCCAGCTAAGCAGGTCACAGAATTGAGATAATGTATAGCACGAGCATGTAATCCAATGAGTCCTACAAGCGACAAGCAATGTGACTTTTCTTTCTGCTTGAGTGCTCAAGGATAGGAGAACAAGGTTTTCTTCTGACAGACTCTCAGCGACTCTCCCAGTGCTTCATGCCTTCCGCGAGTTTCCTGACGAATGCTTTGTCGACGGCGTCCTCTGGATACGCTACGCTCTTGGGATACTTCTGCCATTCGAGCCACGATTCGACTCGAACGGCGCCTTCGACCTCAGGCTCCAGAAGTCCGAGGGCAACGTCAATCGTATCCAGGCCGTGCTTGTAGTAGAAAGCGGTTGCACCACACCTTGCACAGAAATACCGACTCACGTCCGACGATGTCTTGTAGTGACCCAGCCTTGCCCGATCGTCTAGGAGAGAGTCGAGATCTGCTTTCGCAGTGATGAGACTCTTCGGCACCGTGGCCCAACAGGTGATTTCGAATCCAGTCACCGTCCGACAGGACGTGCAGGCATCGAGGCTCGCTTCGAACCTGCCGGTTCCTGCATTGTAGTCGCCGGGAGGCCGTGAGATCTCGAACCCGACATTTTTGCAACGACACTGCGCGACAAGGCGCTGGCTGTCGTCTCGGGCCTCGACTTTGCGCAGCATGAGATCCCCGACCGCGCCATCACTGACAGTCTCGCTGTCCCGTCCTGTCCAGAGCCTATCCATCCCCTCGAGTCCCCCCTGGTTGATCCAGCCCACGGCGCCTCCGTCCCCCTTGACATCCTCGACCCAGAGCTGCACACGGTTCAATTTCCCTTCTAACCCCCCGGGGTCGTCGAATGAGAGCACACCCGTGCCGACCTCCCACTCCGCCGGGCCTCTCCCCCCGTTCTCGTCGACGTTGACCACGCTGGCGCCGCACCGCTTGCAGAACCAGCGCTGGCACGTCGGCGACGATGCGTACTTGACCAGGTTGCCCCCGCTGAGCACGTCGCCCGGAAGCTCCGCGGGGATCACGGCCCAGGTCGCAAACAGCTGGCCCGTCGTGTGGCGGCACGCGGAGCAGTGGCACAGCGCGGATTTCAGAGGGAGCTCCGTCGACGGGATCGCGAGGGAGAAGGATGTGAGGTGGCAGTGACACTCAATTTTGAGCTGGACTTCCATCTCGTTTTTTTTCGGGGTTGACGTGGTCGTTTGGGGTGGAGGGGAATTGGTATTGACGAATTGGTATGTATGTATGCGCGTATGTATGTACTCACACGAGACCGATCGACTCCAAATCCTACGACCACCTCGCTTCATATCACATCTCTATTGATGTCATGTACATGATAATGTATCCCAAGTTCCTTTTTGCATGTCCTCCCCTCTCCTCCCCCTTCCGGGTATTGTACCCCCAAACCTCCCTTTCCCACCAAGGTTGAAATTCTTGGAAAATTTCGTCATTGGTCGTGTGTTTAGCGTATAGCGTATACGTGGGCGTACAGCGTCCGTCGAGGGTTGGAAGGTGGAAAGATGACATACATGTATACCTGGAAGGGCGCACCATGCACGCATGCATGCGTGCGGGGATGACACGGCAAAGGACCACCGGGAGGATGCCATTATTGAGTACCCGACTCGCTGAGTACGAGGTACATAACCACTATTAATCAATCCACCCACCCACCACCCACTCCACCCATGGTGGCTATGGCGCTAAGTCAGCAAGCATGTAAGCAAAGCAAGAGAGGACGAGGCTGGGCCAAAAAAAAAGTGAGGAATTAACGTACCCGTGAACTTTTGTGTGTGTGTGTGTGTGTGTGTGAGGCAACAAGGAGAAGCAGGAATCAGTTACGTAGTTACGCGTTACCTTCTCCTGGGTGGGCGGAGTCGGAGTCAGTTGCTGAATTAATTCGACAGCAGAGACCAAATCAGTTGGTCAGTCAACCAACCCATCCTAACCTTTCGCAGGCGCGAAGTTGTGACCAAGTCGCTGGAGAAATACAATCTCGAGCAATGGTGAATGTCCCTTCTATTATCACAAACCCGCATGTGCCAATGCGGCTCAGTACTCGTACAAATGAATCCCTTCGGCCCCATCTTCCCCTCCCCCCTTCCGATCGTCCTCCCCCAAGAAACCCAACAAAGGAAAAAAAAGGTAACCCAGCACCATCGTCCCCATTACACAGTGTCTCTGTCCCCCCAATGTCGTGCCCCTGTGCCCCACGACACCCTGTTCCTGTGCCCTACTAAGTTGAAGTCGAATTCGAACTCCAATGCGCCAACTCAGTCCGTCGGCGTTGGCTTCGGCGATTCTTGTTGATGAAGTCCGGTGTATCATAAAGAAAAACAACGATAACGAGTGTTCTCTCCCATCTCCCCAAATGTTCAGACCTTGTCGATGGAGAAGCATCACCAAGTAGGCTGATACCACTTTGGCTGGTAAAGCCTCTGGTGTTCAAATAAAGTCTGCATCTGATGCCTGCGAGGTGGTACCTTCGGGTTTCATTCAAAGTCCTGTGTTTTGCTTTTTCCGTGGCCGTGGTGAGTCCGCCGAGTCAGGGTGCGAGCGTTTGGCACCGGCTCCGTGATCATGACTGACCTGGTTCGAAGAAGATTCCCCAACAAGAGGGTGGGAGTTTCCAGTCGACACGGACTCGAAAGTTGCGCCCAGGCTCTGTACTGCTGCAAAGTCCGGGTTCTTGGCGATCTCCTCTCGGGAACCAGCAGAGTCAACGGGCCCCTCGTTGACTGGGCCATGTTTGGCTGCTCTTTCGTTTGCCTTCTTGATTGCCAGAGTTCTTTGTTCCTCTGCCCAATCCCTGCCATTCCTGTAGGCTGTGGCACCTCGTCGAAAACCCTCAGCGTCAGAGTTCATGATCCAGGCGCCGATTTCATTCATGTAATACTCAGGTGGCCCTCCCTGGGTAGAGGAGTGGCTGCGGTGGGTAGTGAACATCCTGAGAACCCCATCACAATAGGTTGAAGTCAGGGTGTAGGCATTGTTGGAGCCCTCGATGTCCCCTTGCCCGTATGAAACGAGGGAATGCATACCTCTCGCTCCCAGTGCACCAGCAAAGCAAGCCTGAAGTTTTGCAACTGCTGGCACGCCTTCTGGGCCTTTGGCTTCCAGGAAGAAATTGGGCACTATCGGAAGGTCCTCCTGTGTTGTAGGGACAATCTCTCGACTGAGCTCATGACGAACCCGTGCATGTAGCTGGTTCGGGATAGTGCCATAGTAGAGGTCCGGGCTTGCTGGTATAGCTAGTTCCCACGACAAAGGTTTGAGGTTCTTCAAGTTGAGTCTCCCGCTGCAGGTCCGGTGACGATCATCAGTTCGGACATATTGCTTGAAGACGGCCTCCACTTGGTTCTCTTTTGTTGCGTCCGCATCTTCTTCTTGGAATTTCAGGAAGTGCTGATCCGTGAAGACATCCGGGGAAAGTGCAGGTCGGGATTTAGACAGGCGGCTTCTGATCGTTTCCCAATTGGCTGGCAGGACCGGCCCCTCTGGACGGTAATCTAGGAACCTTGGGGGATAAACACCACCGTCAATGAGACACTGTTTAAACCTCCTATCGTAAGGCCCGGAAGTTACAGCGCTCTCAGTGGGTATGGAACTGCGGGTAGGAGGATTCGTCGAGCAGGTCTCGTGGTGTTGCTGATAGGGAGTTGGACTTGGACGAGGTTTACGCATGGCACGGTTCGGCTTTGCGGTTGAAAGTGAGGACTGGATCGCGGTCAGCACTGGTATCTCATGCGACATGGATTTGGTCGTACCTGCGTTAAGTCTGTGAGGTCTGGTCCGCCCCCTCTGGCAAATCTCTTGATGTCCTGTAAGACGGCCTTTCTGCAATGGCGAAGAAAATGGGTGGCCGAAGAAGTGGTTTGTTGATCCTCTGACCCAGCTTGAGGATTTGGCGTGCTGAGATTGTCCGAATTGTGATCCGGAAAGCTGGAACTTGAAGCAGCTTCTTCGTTCCTGCGATCCAATCTTCTCAATGCGCGCCTCGTAAGCTTGCGTCTAGACTTTCTGACCCATGTTGCTGGGACGATCGGTTTCGACATGATGTTTTTTATATAACGGAGGCGTAGCGAGGCGAGAAGTAGATAGATGTGTGCGAACTGCCTGATGTCGCGGCAGTTCCCAGAGGAAGAGAGACAGCCTCGCGTTCGTTCTTTGTTGTTTGGCAGCCGGAATTGGAATTTAATGTGTCTGCCGCAACCGGTCTGTCCATCGAAGCCGGACCAGGAACTAACGACCTGTCCATTTTTGGTACCTAAAACAAAGATTCAAGACTGTGTATCACACCTACGTCAGTCGTAGATAAAGAATCTGAAAGGAAGACGGGTCAAGGCGTACCTACGTCGTAGGGAATAGAGACTGGGAGCTCGCTAGCGCGCCTAATTAGGACTAATGTATCCCAAATAGGTATACTACCCGAAACCAACAAAGACAAATCATACCTGCTGGTGACCCCGACTCAAAATACCGTTTCCCGTTTCGCGCAATAGGAGTCTCGAAGGGTTGGGTCACTTTAATTGCCTGTCAGTAAAAATCAGCGCTCCAAAGACACCCCTAGGCAAGGAAACCTGCTGGAGGGAGAACGTGTGGAGGCATGTAGCGGGATACCGAGACATGTTATAGGTTGTTGTATCTACAATTAGACATAGTGACGAGGTTGTTCAGTATTCACCAAGGGGGGAAAGCATACAAGTCATGTTTTTGATTCTTCAAAGCCAGGTGAGATCGGCCAGCTGACATGGGCATAGTCTACGAGTCGCAAGCTGCTGCATCTACTTCTCTAGTATCCCCAACGCTACCCTCCTCGAGGTACTGTTGGGATCAAAGTAGGGTCGTTCGCCCAAACCAACGGCCCTGTTTCCAAAGCGGTCCCCTTCACCACGATAGTCAAAGGTCGCAGAGTGGAACACGCTGCGGTTGTCCCAGATAGCTGGCCCATGGTCAGATGCGCACTTCCAATAGGGACCATGATCACTCACCGATGTCGTTGGAATTCTCCCATTTGAACCGGACCTGAAGGTCGTGGTTCTTGTAGACGAGGTCCAAGAACCATTCCAGGAGATTCTTGCTCTCCTGCTCGGTCAAGCCATTGATGTGGCGGACGTGGCCGCCCACGGGGAAAATGCTCTTCCATCCGGTCACCGGGTTGGTTCGAACCACGGGATGGACGGCCTTTAGTTCGCCTCCGACATTCTCCGGTGCGCCTCTTTCCTTGGTATAGAGCTGGAAGCCTCCTTTCTCGGCAACTTCGTTGAACGCAGGTTGAGCGAAGGTGGCAGTCAACGTTTCGAGAAATTTCTGATACGGCTCACTGATGCGATCATAGATCTCATATCCCGAAGCCCATAGAGTATCTGGTGCCTTTGTCAGTAATGCTCGCTTTTGTTCGGTCTCAACACGTCACTGACCTCCTCCGGTGCGAGGCAATTGAATCAGTCGAAGGGAGGTGTAATCCGCCGGAACTGGCTCAAATGCGATATCGCTATGCCACTGCGCACTGCTCTGCTTCTTGTGGCTCTGGTCGTATGGTGTCTTCTTATAATACTTCTCATGCTGCACCGAGCTGATGGTGCTGATCTCCGGGTCATCACCTCCCAGCTCCCTCTCTGAGTTTAGGACAGGATGGATATGCAATTTGGAAGTCGCAGGTTTTCCGGTCAGCTCGCCGAGTCGCTGAATGAGCTGCTTCTGGATATCGTTGGTAAGATTGTCCTGCTTCCTGAAGAAGACAACGCCGCGCTCCGAGACTGATATGATAAGTTAAACTTTATCCAGAGATAGGACCAGGATAGGCTTACTTTTGATAGCGAGATCGCGAAGGAGCTGGTCGGCATTGGGAGCATTCAACCACTCGACGAGATTTGCCTCGGGATACTCGGTACCAATAACGGGGGTAAGGTCAACCGATTTCCATTGGTCGAGAGAGCCAGACGATTTCAGAGGCTCCTTTCCGAACACAGTCTTCTGTTTGATGAAGTCCTGTACAGGGGTCTCAACATCGATAGCGGAGGGTGCCATTTTGAAAGTAGATCAATCAGGGCGTCTTATCGTCAGCTTTCCGGTCCTTGCACCAGATCCTTGACACTCGACCCCTGGGTACAGCACAACTTTATAGATTTTTCCGGTTCCAGCATTGTATACCTACGAATGCAGGCACGCTGCTGTTGACGCAGGATGGTGCCATATGTGCATTTCTCGACGCAATATTTGTCCTGTCTGTTTAATTCGCCTTGATAGAGGAAGTTGCGGGGTCACTGGGCTTATCTCTGCGATGAGTGGTCTTTCAGAAAGCCGCTGTGCTCGAGGGAGCTTACACCATCCAAGGGAGGAATTGCGCGAATCGGAAGCATCGTATGTGATTCTGTCGTTGAAAAGTTTTCGGGGGCGCATTTTGACTCACTCGATAGGGTACTTGTTGAAGGACGGGTGCGATCGTGACCATACGATTGAACGCGGCCCACGCTCCGAATGGTGAAGCACGACAGAGGCACGAGAAGCACGTTTCTGCCTCTTGATGACCCCGTTTTGGGGATCAGGGTGATACCACACTATCCCCTATGTGGCTAACATGGCTAAGAGAATTCTTGGCGCCGGCACACGGCACAATTATTTCTAATCTAAACAAGTACCTCGTAGATCCAAGTCTCTACGGCCTTGAGTACTACCAGGGCATTCTGGTGAGTGGCGATGTAGCGATGGACCGATGGTCGGTAGTTCCCTTTGGTTAAATCCTTGATTACTAGTCAGCACAGAAGTCACGTGATCTTTGTCTTGGGATAGACCTTGACTAGCGATATTCTACATAGTGGTGTTATGATGATAAAAAGTGTCCGATAAGTTCCACGTATTAGCGCTAATAAGCATTAAAGTAATTCCTTGATCGAAATTTACTAGGTTGTTCTTCCGTTCAGTCATAGCTGTACGAGGTACAGATCGATACCGAGTGTTTTGATTGTCATTTCATTTCATGGACATTTATTGTCACTTGTCGTCATTACATTCAAACCCATCAAAGCCATTTTAGCCGCGGAGTCTCCTACCTCCCAATCACCCTCCCCCGTAACATCGCCTGGGGCTCTACTTAAGGCTGCAGGCATGGTAAGTTCCAGATAGTCGGCACTCGGGTCTTGACTAAATCCAAGGCTTGTAGAGAGGGCTGAAGTCTGGATGCTCTGTTGTTTTTAGCCTAACTCTCTTCGCTCGACACCTCTACCTCTCAGACGACAGCAATGATGATCAACCTTACATAGCTCTACATGAGCATGTCGACCACAACTGCGAGCAGCACAGGCAGGCTGGCATTTGTCCAATCCGCGGGTGGAAGACGGTCTGCTGTAGCTTGCCAGCGATGCAAAGAGAGAAAAGTGCGGTGCAATGTCACAGTCACGGGCTATCCTTGCACGAATTGCCTTCACGACAGGATAGAATGCGAGGTTCTTCCAAGGAAAAGACGGGTGTATGTCAATCTCCTCCCCCTCCTCCTCTCATCACACAAGGAGTTCTCTATCCCGAAGGCCGTGGACTGAACATCAAGGATCAAGAAAAAGAGCGAACAAGAGCATGCGATCCACGACATCACGGAAAACGGGAAGACGTACCAGATCGCCGTCCCCCCTCGCGCCTCCACCTCCTCCCACAGCAGGCGATCCCTTGGTAGAGAACGTGGATGCTTCTTCTTCCATGCCGTTGAGTTCGGAGCGCCCCAATGTCCGTCTCTCACCCAACCTGGTGCATCGAGACCATCAAATCTTCCACAACGATGACTCCCGAGAGACCCACGTCGTCGAAAACACCGTCTCGAGTCCGTCAGGAAATGACGATGTCGCAGACGAAGGGCGAAATAACGCCTCGCTTGCTGAAGCTTTGGAATCCCACAGCCCGTTCAATCGTCATCGAGCTTTTTATGCCGGTAAGTCAAAGGCAGTCGTAGACCGCGACAGCACAACCGAACTCAGTTGACCATCAGTGCAGGGGATCCGCAGGGCGTTGTCCAATCCGTCATGGCTATCTGTGCCGATCAAGACCCGGAACCGCAAGGGATCAGACCTGTTGTGCACCATCAACGCAACGCGCCGAAGCCGAAGAAGGCGTGGCAGACCAACGACCTCATCTACCTCCAGAGCAAGGGAGTCTTTGACCTACCCTCGGCAGAGGTGTGTGATGCCCTGGTCCAGAAGTACTTTGAGCACGTCCACCCTCTGCTGCCTGTCATTGACGCCGGCCACTTCTTGTCTCAATATGCCCGCAACGGGGCGACAGCCATGAATCTGCTCTTACTGTGGAGTGTTCTCCTTGCTGCTGCAAACGTGAGACCCCATGTGTCCTCACTCATCTCTCTACGCAGCCAATGACTAATTCCGTCCCAGTTTGCCACTCCGGAAGATTTGCAGACGGCGGGTTATCCTTCAAGGAAAGCGATGAAGCGTGCACTATACGCCAGGGCCAAGGTAGGAGGGACCCCCAACAGGGGAGGTGGGAGAGTGCTTACCATCTCGAGACAGGCATTGTACGACAGCGACTACGAGGACGACAAGGTGTGCGTGGTCCAATCCGTGACGCTGCTGGGCTTCTGGTACTCGGATCCCGAAGACCGAAGTGGGCCGTGGCACTGGATGGGCATCGCCATCGGTCTTTGTCAAGTCATGGGACTCTACCGCACGCCGCGGTCGGGCTCACTAAGTCCATATGCCACTCTTCGGTCACGTCTTTTCCGCCGGATCTGGTGGTCGTGCTTCATGAGAGACCGTTGGCTGTGCCTGGGCCTGGGACGCCCGATGCGCATCAACCTCGAGGACTGTCAGGTGCAAATGCCCGAGCCCGACGACATCACCATGGAGCTGGGCGACCTGGACCCGGACGTCGCCGCCAAGTACCTCCCCGCCGCGATGCCAGAGCACGCGGAAATCTGGGTGCGGTTGATCCATCTGAGTGTGGTCCTGGGTAAGATCCTCCGGCAAAACACACGACCGCCTTTCGACCATGATTGCTTTCGGTCGTGCGAGACCGACTTGGAAAACTGCCGGTCATCGGCACGAGGTCTGGACCATCAGAACGAATTTTCCGTGGCGTCCTTGAACGAGTTCCAGTTTGAACTCCTGAGACAGTTTGTGTTCCTTCTCCCCCTATTCCCAAAAGAGTGCTTTTTGCCACCTGCCTGCCCCCCCGGGAAAACAAAACCAACTTTCTCTTTCTCCCTAGAGCGGTCATCATCGTGCTACATCGGTCGAGGATCAATTTCCGAGATCCGCCCGACAGCGTCAAGACACCTGAACAGGTAGAGTCGCTCCGCAAGGCTCGCTCGGCGGCGGTCCGAATCAATCACCTTGTCGAAATGTTGATCGAACAGGACATGGTCCAGTATTTGAGGCCGATGAAGTTGAGTCCCTCCATGAAGATTGCCACTTCTCTCGTTTTAGAAGCACACGCTTGCTGACACACAGCCCTGACGGGCGGGCGGACGCACCGCAGCCTGACGGCCATCATCACGGCCATGCAGATTCATCTCTACGAGTGCCGGTCCAGCCGACCGCTGATCCACAACCTGGCCTGGTCCAAGCTGGAAGTGTGCATGATGGTCGTGTCGGAGCTGCGCGAGACGTACTGGGGCGCCAACTTTGCCTTCAAGCTCTTTGAGGCGGCAAAGGCCATGTTGCAGAAGCGGCCCCATCATCACCATCACCACTACCACAGCGGCGGGGGCAGCAGCGGCCCGGTGGGATCGTCACCAACAACGACCACGACCGCCACGAGACAAAATGCCGTCGCCAATAACAACGACCACGACGATGAGACGGCTTTGAACACGGACGGCTTGCTGGACGAGGGAGACGCGCTGGATTGGTTCAACGACCCATTCCTCTCGGCCGGTCCGTGGCCCATGGACACGTCTGCCTTTGACTTTGGCGAGTCCTACATGAATCCCCTGTGAGTGCCGAGTACACGGGTCGAAAACCTTTGTCCCCCCTTTCCCCGTCTTTTTCTAAGTTGCTGATCCCCTCACTCCTGACAGACACACTGGCATCAGTGATCTTCAGCCCGCCACGGCCTCTGCCGCCACGGCCGCCGACCCTTGGAGCCTCGACGGGTTCCAGCACGTGCTCGACGCATCCTTTGGTATGGACGCTTAGTTGATACAGGCGAGAGATGGGGAGCTAGACAATCATTATCTTTTTAGTGCGTGTATATGTATATATGTGTGTGTGTGTATATGAACATATCCGTTTCGGCTATGCCATACCCAACCTCGCCACATCGACATGCAGACAACGCGTAGACCAACGTGCTCTGGACTGTCTGATGTCTGAAGGGAAGTCGGAAATCGTGTACATTCATACCTAGGTATCACGATATATACCTACCCTGGGCTGGAGTCGATGTATTGATGAATCCCCGCCGCTTTATTGCCACACATCACACTAACCACCATTTCAATCCGGCATACCTTCTCCATCTGATGAGGGCAGCACGCCCGTTGTAGACCTTTGAGGCCCAGGGCGCTCCACCCCGGCTTTCTTCTACTTCTTTTCATTCTTCCAGGTTTGATCATTTGTGCTGCGGATGCCGTGGATCGGAATCAGAGATAAGAGCGAACCATGGCATACTTTCCCAGCGAAAGTCGACCTGACCATATGGTGTTGGACGAGAATGACGGCGACGAGGCACTGACGGACTCTAGATTTGCTGCGGGCTCTCCAGAAATATCCTTCTATTCCGATGCCCACAATCTGCGGGTGTGGAGCAGCAATGGCAACGATGCGCACATGGTGCTTCGGACCTCATCCAACAAGTTGAGACTAACACCTAGCAGGAAGCGGACGGTCGATGAGAAGAAACGCCTGTCTTCGGTTGCACAGTTCAATTCGACGCTTGCCCCTGCAATTAAACTCCTTCCGGATGTGATTGCTACCAAACTTGCTACCAAACGTCCTTCACAGTCCAAAGTCCGTCCGAGCTCATACCATGATGACAATGAACCCAACGACCCAGTCCACGTGGATGAACAGGGCCATCACCGTTTGTGGGCAACGAGCCAAGGGGCTTATTTTGAGGATCCCCTGCACCATATCAATGAGAACTTCAAAATGAACTCCGAGGCGAATGATGGCAACGATGCCCAGGTCGTACGGGGCGAAAACCAAGACGCGACGAGACAACAAACCTGCCAGCTTTCTCCTATTGTTATTGTCGATAATCTCCTCTCTACCTTTAACAGTGACTTCTCGAGCGAGAGATCCCGGAAAGCAATCCGCCGCGACTCTGTCAGGGATCTGTCATCCAGGTCCCGAACACACATGCGACTGCCAACGTATATTTTCAAAGATTACCCTCTCATGCAGGCCTTACAAGTCAATTCACCACAGCGCGATAGAAGGGAAGTTGTGATTGAACTTGTTTATCGGGTTCTATCATGCCATAATCTGAGGAGACTTTTGTCGTGGCCAAAGAATGATCAGAACATGGATCGAATATCATCTCCAATCCCAACTGCTCAATTTCAGCATTGCACTTCACCGTGGCGACGGAGGAGCCCTACGCCTCTTTCCAGGGTCGAAGATGCCTGGGAGAGAGAGTTGCAACAGTCACTGAATTTGCATGTGATGCAATCCAATGAATCAGCAAGGCCAATTGGAAATACAATCACTAGCACCCACGGAGATCGATCTCCCAAGGATATCTCCACATCATCGACTTCCGAGGGTAGAACGTTGACGGCTTCATCAGCTCAGTCAACATCATCGAAGCGTCCTCACCGTCGCTCAGCACGAGGCAATAGCAATCGAGAAGACAGCGACAATCCCTCAGACGATGACGAAGAAGATCAACCACCCAAGAAGGCGCGCACTTCTTCAGAGCGCAGTCCGCCCACAAAGAAGCTACTTGCTTGCCCTTATTGGAAGTATGATCCAGCTCGATACTCCCCTGCCAACACTTCGGAGAAGAGATATCGGGGTTGCTCGAGTGTTTATCTCAGAGACATCGCGAGGCTGAAGCAGCATCTTTACCGCGTTCACAAGATGCCAGACTATCATTGTCAGCGATGTTTAGAGGTCTTTGAAAACGAGCCAAGCCTACAGGAGCATGTTCGGGCCCCGGCAGAACTAGCATGTACATATCAGCAAAACACCTCCTCGGAACTGTTATCTGAGTGGCAATGTGCCCAGCTGAGGAAACGGTGGACTGGCAAGACCACAGAAGAGGCGTGGAAGTGTATATGGTCCATCATTTTCCCACGCCTTGAGCCACCCTCGAGCATACACGCTGAAGACCGTTCCGCATCGATTCAGCCTTCTCAGATGCCTGGGTTTCTGAGCGAGTTTCAGCGGCGCGCCCCATCCATACTGCATGAGATACTTTTGGAAAGGTCCTCTCAAACCGAGTCTGCCGAGGTGACCTCATGGCTGCAGTCGGCTGGTGCACAGTCAATTTTCAGCGCCTCGATTCAAGAGCTCTTTACCCGCCTCCAGTGAGCCGAGAACAGTCAACCTATGCCACAGACACCCCCAATCACTACCACAGCCTACTTCTATCCCGAGCTTCCCGACTTTGGCGACCTGCTAAACTTCGACATATTTGACGAAGCCCCTAATGACCCAAATCCTGGTCCTTCAGAAGCCAGTACTGGCGATTCCGAGGGTCCTCTTGAGCAAAAGCCAGAGAGCATGCAATCGGGTTTGAATCGCAGTCATCCGGTTGATGACAGTTTCTTGCTCGCTTCAAGCCGGTAGACGCACCTGTCAAAATTCATACCCGAGTTAAGACTCCACCACCACTTGATCTTCCTGCACCAGTTCGGCGACCAGTCATTACACCGTCTGTCTGGGAAATCCACCGAACCCGAATACCGCCACGTAACGAAAAGGGCTAAATGATTTGCGATAACGTTGACTGTCAGGGCAAACCTGTACAGAGGTTTCGGAGAGTCTGTGAATAGAACAAACATATGGACATCCACGAAAGACCTTACCAGAGCCAGGAACCGGGATGCGAGTCGCACTTGGGATTCTCCTTTTTAGGCGGGCTTCTGAGACACTAGAGCGAAGTTCATAAGATGCACCTCCCGCCACGTGAGCAAGTCTTGTGCCCTTACCCCCACTGCATCCGAAGTTCAGGAACAGGTGCAACAGGTTTTACGAAGAGGGAAAACCTCGAAGAGCACATTCGACGAAGGCACTCAGAGGAGCTCTAGTACGACCGTTTCAACAGACGTTTCAAGGTCTGTGGATGCTTCCAACAGCAGTGAAAACACATGTGACCCGCGACAAATTTTCACGAACGCACCTGCGGCGCCGGTACCTGGAGTCTCCATCAATCCTGCGGATTTCGGGAATAGACCCATCCGACAGTCAAGAGACACACGTCTGGCATCCTCGGTGAAAGAGACGAATTCTGAGTCTTTGCCATTTCTACACGGAGGCCGATCGAGTCGCTAATCAGGAGTTCATTGACCAGCCACAGGCGACAAAGCCCCGAGTGTCGCTAGAGTGCGTAGACCCCATAAAATCATGTGCCAATTGGTCCTTAGGTATCTGGTGCCTGCAGATTGCCGAACAGAGCCTAATGACCCCAGCCGGCCCACCTTATCGCCCCCAATTTCCACGTTTCTAAGGAGCGATTGGCGCGTAATAGCTTCACCCATTAATAGCTAGAGGCCACAGCCTATGACATCATTTCGCATTTGGCTTTTGTGGCTTTCAGGTCCATTTCCAAGTTTTCGAGACGCTACGGAGGCAGGCCGATCGTATTGACAATCTCGATCTCTTCTGCACAGGCTCGACGATGCCAGCTTCATCTTATATGAGTACGCTGTCTGCGTGCGTCGCAGTACTGCCGCTGTCAAAGGCACTGCCAACTTGTGGACAGCCACAGACTCGCACGCTCTGGGATGGACCGCTTGCGTGGTGCCGTCCACGTCGCGTCTTCAAAGTTGGGACGTAGCAACCCAGCTTCAGCAGCCACCGAAACCGTACCACCACAAGATGCTGCCAGAACAGCGGCGCGACCACCGATCGAGGAACCGGCATCGATTCATCCTCCTACCTTGCGAGACGAGCCGAATCCTGGAGTTAGACGCTTGCCTGCTGCGAGGGACGACAATGTTTATCTCCCCAGCATTCGACTTCTTCGTCACAGGAATGATACTCCTAGGCCTGAGGCGAACATTGGCGCAGTCCACGACTATGCCACTAATCCCAGAGAAACGGATGAGACCGATAATGGCAGGGTAGGAAACTTGTGGAACAAAACTCGTCACTTGCTAGGTTTGGGCCACACAGAAAGAGATCCTATACAGCCTGAAAGGGACTACAATGCAGGTATGGTTGATGCACTCGACGCATTGGGTACGTAGCCTAGCACATTGCACCCCTCGCAGACTTTCTGTGCTCACCAGTATCGTCAGATCCTGAAGTTCAAACTCTGATATCTCTGACCAACGTTCAAAACTCGCTTTTCGTTCCCGACTTGGGTAAATATGTGAATAGAAGACCGACATTCTCACTCACAAGCTTCTTGCAAGATGTTGAACAGAAACTGAAGCCGGGAGAGAAGGAAAAACAGAAGCAGGAAAAACCGCCAAAGGTAACACGGCCTGCACCCATATACCGAGCTCCTACCGGTGCCACAATCAACTCCCAGCTCAGTGATTCTCGATATGCGGTCCTTCCTGAAGGAGCATCGTTGTCAGGGTGGACATATCAAGAGCGATTAGAACTCAATGATCATGTTCGACATATGCTTCACTCACGCCGGTCGAAATTCAAAAGGTCCATGAAAGGGTTTCTGCAATATGTTCGCCAACGTGAGCCTGTCTACCTCGATCGCACGTCTGCGAGTGCTGACTTTGAATCCTAGCTCTGGGCTTCTGCATCACACTGTATGCGACTTTGATCACGCTTTTTGGTCTGGCCTGGGTTCTCTTCCTCATCGGTACGCCCTCAGAGCCCTTCCAGATTTATGTGTAACTGATCGAATAACCAAACGCAGGCTGGATAAACGTCGGTGGCAAGCAACTGTATGTCATCAACGTGATTGACAACGTCCTTGTTGCACTCTTCGCCATCGTCGGCGACGGCCTAGCCCCTTTCCGGGCTGTTGACACGTACCATATGATCTTCATTGCTCACTACCATCACCTCACCTGGTCGACCCGCAAGAAGCATAACATGCCCAAATTGAGAAACCGCAACGATCTCCCTACCGAGATGCCGCCGCCTGTGGTCCCCAAACCCAAACCACGCCGCCGTGATCGAGTACTCAATAAAGCAGCTGCGAAACTCCACCTGAAGAAACGATTCGGCTTGAAGGAGGACCTCGAAGAGCCGGGCGAGTATAGCGTACTAAACCACAAGCAGCAGCGACTCTTGGACTACCATGGCGCCAAGTTCAACAAATCGCACACGTTCTACAAACCGCACGAGACGGAGACGCACCACGCGTTCCCCCTGCGACTCCTGGTCGTCATCGTGGTTCTGCTGGACTGTCACTCCCTCTTGCAGATTGCCCTAGGCACCGTCACGTGGAGCATCGACTACCAAAAACGTCCTTTTGCGTTGACGACGGTCATTTTGTGTTGTTCGATCACTTGCAATGCCACGGCCGGGCTGCTGATTTGGATCGGCGATCGCAGAACACGCAAGAATGATGTGTTGGAGCGCATCAATCGGCAGGAGTTGACACAGGAGGCGATGGAGAAGATGAAGAAGACGTACGCCAACGGTGATGGAGATATCTGAGAGCGGACCAGTACTCTGCTGTACACATATAATATTATGTTCTTCTTTTACCGTTTTCGTTCGGGAAGGGGGAGTGAGGCCGCTTTTGACGGCGATGAGAACATCGTCTCCCATCGCCCATTACATTTGTCCTTCTCTTCCAACCTACTTCCCCCAAATCTCCTTCAAAACCCGCCTCGTCGCCGGAATTCTCTCCGCCACTCCGGACTCCCCTTTGATTATTGTCCCTTCCGGCTCCTTCAAAATGTACCTCGTCTCTACGAGTGTGCCCTTGATTAGCCTCGTGATGGCTCGATTCTCGCGGCCCCCTCGGCACTTTCAAGGAGAGGGACCCGTTTCGCCGTATCGGGCCCCTTATGCGCCTGACCCCTGTGCCCCCTCGATGATGCATTCATTTGACCTTCTCTTGCCGTACATCATGCAGGCTCAGCTGCAACCCCCCGTCCATCATCCACGCCTCAACCGTGGTCCTGAGGACATGGACGTCCGTCCGGCTTCGGCGCGTCTCCTTGTGCTAACTTGCGAAGGTGGATCCGCGTAATGGGCTCTTCGTACAACGGGGATGCTACGGGATTCGTAGTCAATAGTCCAACACGTTGTTCACGCGGACTAGGATCAGCCAGGTGAGTTTTAGCCCCGGGGGGTTGATTCCATGCGTGTACACCTGGGTGATTGGAATCTGGAATAATGGCATTTCGTGAATAAATCGAGAGCTAATTCGCCTAGACACGACATGAACATACATGTTATAAATCGTATTCGGAGGGGGGGGGGGTTCCTCGAACAACGAATCAAATGGTTTTGCTTGATAGGAAGGAGTGGTAGGTCGCAAGGTTAGTCGGAGCAGGGTTGTGCGCTTACATTGGACGTACACCTTGATACCAACAGTATACCAACAACCAATGGCTATACTTATTAGGTAGGGGCTAAGATTGTGAACGAAGTTGACTTCAGCTTGTATCTAAGGTTGGGGGGTTGAGCCAGCTATATACTTATCCTATGCTGTCTCAAAGTAGCAATAATCTGTGCACTGAATGCCCCATCCTTGCTCGACCTTCCATCGTCTGTCCCCGTGGGGTGGCCGCATGAAGGTTGGTCGGTAACGATACAGAACCACACATGACTTTGGCAATACCACCCCACCACCTGCACCAAATCCGACACTTTAGCCGGCCTAAGTGGTCTGTGGGGGCCTTTCCTTGAGTCGAGGAAGGCGAATGTTTTCCACTGTTGACCCTCCAAGTAGATAGCGGACAGCCTGTGGAACCGTACCAACTCCGCCGAATGACTTCACCATATGGTGATTCATCCGGCTCACAAGGGTGATCGTCGACATGGTATCATCTTTTTTGTCAAGGCCCTTGAAGGTTGTGCACATTGCCTCGCTCATATCGTTCCGTGTAGACAACCCCCAGCCACATGCGCCGATTAATTCCTTTTGGTAGGCCGGTTTCTGAGACGACTTTCCATTCTCCTGGCTTGTCACTGAAGCTAATACGGCTTCACGGCAGTCAAGAATGATGATCGTGTGGGTTTTGGCGTCCATAATCGTCTTTTGAATTTCTTCCCAGTTTACCCCAGCAACGGGTTGGAAACTAGATCGTGTTTAACCTACGTCGCAGTGGGCTCGGCTGCGAGGGGTTCTTCGGATAGTGACATACCGAGTGTCCTCCAGGGCCATTCGTAGTTGAGAAGGGACAATTATCCCACTCTTATTGCTTTCCAAGGCTTTCGAAACCTTGCTACCGAGATTGGACAGTTCCGTACCAAGTTCGATAGGCTTGTTGGGAATGTTGTGGCTTTAGAAAGCGAGATTAGGAGGAATGAACGAGTAATAAATGGAGCCGTTGTATGACTTCGAAGGCTTACCTGAACAGTCGAAGTTTGTTTTTGTCAACAATTCCTCCATGGCCGTGGTAGTAAATGATGTGTAGGGTCGGGTGACTTTGGTCAGGCTTGACCAGAAATTCGCTCAGGTGTGTCTTGAGCCCGGATAGAGGGTCGCTCATGTTGATATTGTAATCTTGAACCTCATATCCAAGACTTTCAAAATCGCCATGAATCTTTCTGGTTTGCTTGTGTAGATCCAGATCGTTGAAACTGAAAGTAAGAAGCAAGACTTTGACTCTTTCCGGCCTGAACATCTCTTGAGCCCCCTTTCGAGCCGCCTCGTAAGTTGTCGATTTATGATGGGGTAAAATCCGGCACTCCTGTCCAATCCCAGTGACGTCAATAAGTCAACCTGAGATTTATGATCGAGTGGCGGGTAATGGGAGAACCTCGAAGTCCATGAGAATCAGAGCGCGGGCTATGTCCAGCAGATAAAAATCAGCCGCAGTCAACGTGGTCTTGCAGGAAGGGGAGAAAGAAGTCCACACCAGAATTGGGGCAGCCGTGTCGCTATTGGTATAGCGTCAACCGGTGTGACAAAGGTATAACATGGAAGTAGCCATTTCAGGCCGAGTTCACATGTCAAAACACCTTCCAACAGAACCACGAGAATATATGGCCTGGCGCTCTCGCTTCTTCGACTTCTGCCTCGCCTCTTCCATCGCACCTCGATCACCCTCCCAACTCCCGATCGTCACAGGCGCCTATGACGATCGCGAGGTGTTCGATTGGGCGGTGGGATGGGTGCTTCATGCTTCCACTTCACGTGGCCATGTCCTTTTGAGCTCAGCGGGTCGCCGGACTCGCAGGAATCGATTTGATTCAATGCGGGGAAAAGGATGGTACCTGTACGCGTCCGGACACCTTTGTCTGTGGTGGGGCATTTTTTTTGCATTCCTTGGGTTCAAATCGCTACGTACTTTTGCCAAATCGGTGCGCGGGCCACGCGAGCCTGGTCAAGTTGCGATAGATTGATGCCGCTTCCAACCAGACATACTTGAAGGGACGGTTTCGTCAGTATTGCAAGCAATTTACGTCAATCGAGGTAAGCACAGAAGAAATAATATCATCCAGCGTCTCGAACGGATGGTTATTTGGGGGGCCCCGGGGGGGGGGGGGGGGGGGGGGGGGGGGGGGGGGGGGGGGCAGGAAAGGGGATCCACTCGGCTTTTGGTATCAAGACGAGACGGCAGCAGCCGAGAACTTTCGCCCCCGGAAATCGCGCGAACTTAAAACCCCGCATGTAGCCGGGGGCCGCTCGCTCCCTTGTCCCGGACGAAAATAGTAAGAGATGAAGCACAGTTCAGTGTACATATAATATATATCCATTCATCTATAAAGAGAGGATATATACACACATAAGCTCTATCGAGAGAAGAGGTGACCAAAGCTCTCTCTCTCTCTCTCTCTATCTATTCTACCACCCCAAACGCTTTTTTCCCCATTGCGAGCTCCCTGCCCAAGACGTCAAAGTACCACACGGGATTACTGTCCTCGTCGAGCTCGGCCTGCGTGTACCCGTTGCCCAGGTATGCGAACCGGTTTCCCCTACCACTACCACTGCCGCTGCCGCTGTCGCGGTACGTCATGACAAAGTCCTCGTAGCGCGGCTCGGCCAGCACCTCAAAGTAGTGGAGGCGGCTGCCGGGCCAGATGGCGGTGACGGGGCCGTGGACCCGGCCGTTTTTGAACCACGATCTACAGGCGCTAGAATTTCAAAGGGAAAAGGTCAGGAAAAACGCAAGTCCTGTAGAGGTAAAGGGGGAGGGGGTAGGGGAAGTTGGATCGAAAAATTCTTTCTCACCTCGACCAGGCAGTCCGCTTGAGCAGCTCGTGCGTGTGCGTGTACAGATCCGCAACGGCCTCGCGCGACGGGCCTAGCGACTTGATAGACGTCCGCTGCATGTGCGAGATGATCTTGAACATGTACCGCGTGTGCCATTCGAGGATAGGGAGGATGGAGCCGTGCGAAGCTGGGCCGTTGGGACCGATGAAGACTAAGGATTTTCACACGTTCACGTATTAATAACAATGGGACCATGATATTGATATAATCATGTAAAAGGGGACAAGGTCACTTTGGGTGACTAGGGTGGGTAGATGAGTAGGTAGATAGGTAGGTAGGTAGGTACTCACGGAACATATTGGGAAATCCCTCGGCCATGACGCTCAGGTATCCCCTTGGAAAGTCGGCCCACTCGTCGCGCAGGTTCCGCCCGCTCTCCCCGACCAGGGTGTAGGGCGGACAGAAGCTCGTGTCGAAGCCCGTGGCGAAGATGATGACGTCGACGTCGACGTGCCTCCCCGAGGCGTCCACCAGCCCCATCTCCGTGACCTCCGCGGCCGACTGCGTGATGACCTCGACGTTGGGCCGCAGCAGCGACTGCAGGTAGTCGGACCCGGGCGTCATGCGGCGACAGCCCAGCGCGTACTGCGGGATCAGGTGCGCCGTCAGCCGCGGGTCGCCGGCCAGCTTTTGGAACATGCTCTTGGCCACGAACTCGCGCGACGCGGCCTGGTCGACGCTGTCGAGGTGCATCTGCGTGGGAGGGGATAGAACGTTAGGTTCCCTCCTTCCAATGGAGATGAGAAGAGCCGACCGAGCCTTTCAGGTTTGAAGTCTTACCAAGGTAAACCGTTTGTTGAGCTCCCCCTCGACTTCTCGACAGTACTTGTCAAGGACGGCCTCGTCGCTGGCAAACTTGTTCTTTTGCTCCTCAGAATCTGGTATCCGGTCAGTCTCTATTGGGAAAAGTGGAGGGGGGGGGAATGATTTGTATATACAGTCAAAGTTGACGCCACCCGGCGCAGCGTGTTTCGCGCCGAACCCAGCTGTGATCCAGACGGGCGACCTCAAGAAGACGTGTAGTTCCTTTGTGTAAGGCTGGATGGACGGAATGATCTGCACGGCCGAGGAACCTCCCCCGACAACGGCGACTTTCTTGTCGGTCAAGTCGACGCTGTCGTCCCAGGCGGCGCTGTGCATGATCTTGCCCTTGAATTGATCGATTCCGGGGATATTTGGATATTTCCACGAACTGAGGGCGAGGGACGTCAGCCATTTTCACTGTGCACAAGTACCTATAGAACTGTGGGATATACTTAAAAACACCGTGGCACGAGGCCAGGATTTCGCCCTCGTCGGTGAACTCGGAGCCATCCGCTAGGTGACCCTTGATCTTCCATACACCCCGTTCGGCGTCCCAGCGAGCCTCGTCGACGCGGTGGCCGAAGCGGACGAAGCGTTCCAGGTCGTTCTCGACGGCAAACGCCTGGAGGTACTGGCGGATCTCCTCGGCGCCGGCGTAGTAGCTCTTCCAGTCCGGCTTGCGCCAGAAGCTGAACTGGTACGAGTGGCTGGGGATGTCGCATGTGCAGCCTGGGTACCGGTTTTCCAGCCAGGTGCCGCCCACGGCCGAGTTTTTCTCGTATATGGCAAACGTCACGTTGGACAGTTGGCGCTGCGCCTTGTACGCGATCTGGAGCCCCGCGGCCCCGGCGCCGACGATCAGCACACGCATCGGTCGTCGCGTGTGCAGCGGCTCCTCGTGGATGCGGTAGCCGTTGGACGAGAAACCGGACCGGTACCACTCGTTCTCGTGTGGTCGTTGGGGAGTTTCTGCATCGTGTTCCACATCTCCGTTGGTCTGTTTGTGCCCTGCCGAACGAGGCTTCAGGGACAATTCAGGAGGGTCTTGGACGATATCTCTCGCATCGGGGACGACATCTGCAGCTGCCATGGTTGGGTTGAGGTGGTGGGGGAGAATGGCAGAAGATGATATCGCTCAAGACACAGAAAAGGGAAGCAAACTGCAGAACCTCACATATTTATCTGTTGTTTTATCTGTCGTCGAAGTCTCTCCTCCTTTCCTGTACCTTTTTCTCTCCGGACTTGCCCGGACTACATACACCACCATGTGCAGACTCGTCAAGTTCGTCATGAGATAGTCCTCGTCTGGGCGGATCACCATCGAGGTGGACAGGGACCAAAGCCCACAAAACTTCGGCCAGTGAGAAAACGACAGTGTTTGTTGGACATTCCTCTCATGAGGGCACCTGGGAACAAGGCTGGGCCCAATCTTTTTTACCTCGGTGATATTTCTCTTTGTGGTATAATGCTTTGACCAATGGATACCAAGAGGAAAAAAACCCCCTGGGAAAGGTATCTACCTACATTACCACCCTTCAAACTACTTCGTACATTGTACTAGGATCGACGAGACAACTTGACAGGGTTTTAAGAAGCGTCTTCTTTGCTGAAAGTCGAGATAGATTGCGACACTGGGACAAGTCATCCTCCGAACATACGCACACTCATCGTCTCTGTCTCTCTGGTCCCTACCCTTCAATTGCATGTCTTGGAATCCGTCGACTAGGAAAGTTACCCACAAGAGACTCGAAGCATCGAAAGCACCATGACAAGCCAAACCGCCGCCGCCGATGAAGCCGCCATCCGCCGTCTGCTCGACCAGTATTGTCACGGCCTGGACCGCCGCAACTTCGAGCTCCTGCGCGACGTCTTCACCCCCGACGCGGACCTCTCGTACTGCGGCGGCCTCCGTCGATTTGTCGGCGGAGAATCCATGCGCGATGTGATCGTCGACTTGAACGCCGCGTTCGGGCCCGTCGACCACGCCCTCAGCAGCCTCCTCATCACCGTCGACACGGATGGCCACGGCGACACAGCGCGCGCCGAGTACCACATCAAGGCGACGATGCTCAAGGCCGACGAGCCCAAGATCGTGATCCGCGTCGTCGACTTCAGGGACGAGCTGCGCCGCACCCCGGCCGGGTGGCGGGTCAGCAAGAGGCAGCACACGCCCATGTTCCAGTACGAGCTGCCGTCGACCAAGATCGACTTTCCGGGCGTGGGCGGCGTCGAGTACCGCATGCCAGAGGCTACACCGAATTGAAACGTCGTGTCTAGGTCGGGTGTGATGTCTTGGTGGGGGGACTTACCATGAAGAAAATGACCTGGATAATGAGATAATGATAAGCGAATCAAAAATCTACAGAATTTTAGAGTCGAGATGTTGTGTTTTACCCAGTACGAGATATCTGTCCTATAGGTATTGAAGTACCATGGTGATTACCCAGGTAAAACTGGTGTAAAGACCAATTTTTTTTTTTTTTTTTTTTTTTTTTTAAAAAAAGCGACTTTTGGGTGCGGAAGTGGTAATGTATTGTCCGTCCCTTGCTCGTCTTTGTCTCCTGCTGGTACAGCCTGGACCGGTCTGATTGCAATCATTTCCTTGACCTTGACCTCGACCTCCGCCTAGCCTCCCTCCATGGGGTACTCGGTACTCGGTACACTGTGGGGGGGACAGGTACCTTGTGCAGGCTAATTAACCACTAGTACTCGTCAGAGTGGAATAGAGCGCCACGTGAGCGGCAGAGCCTGTGAGTCTGCGGAGAGCCGAGAGTGAGCTAGGACTTTAAGGCGTGTGGGTACCATCCGAGGTGATTTATCCTTTTTGGGATAAAATACCGAAGGAAGGAAAGCAGGTTTTTCTCACAAATGTGGGAGCTCCTTTCTCTCTGGCTGCGCCACTGAGACTAGGAGAGTCAACTACCAAAAGAGTGCCTAGGTATCTAGGTATCTATCTCGTGACGATGGACCTGTCCAGGTCATATCGTCAAGAGGGTAATCCATTTTCGTTTGCATGATTGCTACGAGGATACGGGAAAATGGGAAAGGAGAGGGACAGGGAGCCCGTGAACGAGGGGAAAGGACACTTCTATTCTTTCTCGTTGTCTTCTCTAGGCGTGCGCTACCAGACACTCCCCCGCGCGAAACAGAGTACCTCGACGTAACAAAATTCGAGTCTTGTCTAAAACGTGTCCGAGATCTAGATGGAGAAGAAGAGAAACGAAGTTGGTCTCAGGGCAAAAGGTCATAGGAATCTATCTATCTACTTGTGTACCAACCCATCAACCCTTTTGCGGAACGCGACCAGCTTCTCGGCCACGGGGTTTGGCATCTCCATGGCCATCATGTGCGTGCCCGGGTCGATCTCGTGGTATTCGACGTTGGGGTTGCCGGTGCACGCGTCGGCGATGGCCTTCATCATGGGCGGCGTGGCCGAGAGGTCCTGCTTGCCGGCCAGCGACAGCACGGGCATCGTCTTGAGAGATGGCAGCCGCTCCAGACAGTCGAGTCGGGCCATGGCTCGCCACGCGGCGGCCCAGTCCTCGACGCGCGCCCGACGCACACACCCGCGGGCGTACCGCACGCACCATGTGTCCTGCGCGATGGTCTCGGGCAGGAACCACCGTATCACCGACTCGGCCACCAGCGAGTCCATGCCGTGCTCCTCTGCGCGCGTCGCGCGCGTCGCCAGCACGGCCGTCGCTTTCCCCGCCGTTGCGATGGCCGCTAGAGACCGCGTGCGTTGCGGGTTGTCGAGCGCAAAGTACTGCGCCACTGCGCCGCCGTACGAGGCCCCGTAGACGTCGGCTCGCTCGACGCCCAGCCGGTCCAGAAGCAGGGCCAGGTCGGCGCACAGATGCTCGAGATCGCGGGTGAGGGGTGCCCCGCGCGCGTATCCGTGGCCGCGCAGATCGTAGGCAATGACACGGGTGCCCGAGGCAGCGAGAAGTGGTAGAACTTGTCGCCACATTCGTCCGTCCATGCTGAGGGCGTGGATGAGCACAATGGGGATCCCCGAACCGCCGGTGTCGCGGACCATGGTCTCGTGGTCGCCGAGTAAAACGATCGACTCGGTGTATCCTTTTGGTAGTGGCAACTGTCGCGGCTCAGACCCCGACTGCCATTGCGACAAGAGGTCGTGGGTATGGCGGACGGCATTGACCGACCTGGGAGCGCCGGCGAACGAGTTGGCGTGCCGGAAAATGTCTTGGATCTCCTCAATCGTGGCGCCGTGGGTCAGCGCCCCCGTGACGTACACCTTGAGCTGATCGTCGACGTCGCCCAGCGCCGTCAGCGTGGCGATACTGACCAGGGCCCATTCGCGGTAGCTCAGGCTGGTCTGGGCCAGCGCTGTCCCGAAGCCAACGTCGAGGATATGTCGTCCAAGCCCCGGGCACTGCTCGATGGTGCGACGGACCTTGCCTGCCAGATACTCGCCGGCGAACCGCGAAGCTTCGTGGTATCCGATCAACTCTTTGGCCGAGACGGAGGCTGGTGCTGCCTCGACAGAAGAGTTATTTGTAGGAGTTGCTGAAATCTTGTCTTTCTCGATATGAGTGCCATTGACGGCGCCATTGTCTCCGTTGGGGCTTTCGATAGATGGAGACATGGTGATGGTGTGAAAAGGTGAGCTCGATGTTGCGCGACAATAGAGACAGGAAATGATGGCAACTCAAACAGAAGTCTCTTCGATAAGAGTCTTATACCGATGAATGACAGGGAGAGGTTCACTCGCCCAATTTCTAGAGAACAGATAAATCGAGCAAGGGCCTAACGGTTTGTCGGCTTTCCCCTTGACAGGGTTTTTCGTTGTTGTTATCGTCCAGGGAGTAAGTCCAGAACTCGGTACTCATATTCCGACTCAGGAAGAGACTCTTTGCAAACGATACAACCGCTACCAGGTACCGGTATCCCTCCCTAGCAAGACGAGGAGGGAAGGTCGAGTCCTCGACTGAGACATCCCCGGAATGCCCCGCCGCCACATCCGAAATGCCGGTTTGATATAGGCTCCGAGGGAATATTTCCGTTTGTGATATAGTATGAACGTGGTGGATCAACCGAGATCCAATCATGGACGACGGTACCTACATTTGCTCTCGTCGCTGCAAGGCCTGGTCTCCGGCTTCTTTTCTCCTTTATTTCCTAGAGTACGTGTCTGGGGTGGCGGGGACTTGCCCCGGAATGAGAAGAGCGCATGGTCTGAGAACAGGAGGAGTGTTGATAGATTTATATCTTGGGATCGTGCCCCTTGTCCAAAATCGAGGAGCTCATACCTTTTTCCGCCAGAGTTTTGAGTTGTGCTGTGAGGTTGAAGCTTGAACACGACAGAAATACACCAGAGCACACCACCAGCTTTGGACCTCCCAGCTTTGTCCACCATGACTCTGACGAACATTGTCGAGGCAGAGAACAAGAGCATGTCGGCGGACAACACCCACGTCGAAGCTGTGGCTTCGAGCGACCACGAGAAGGGCGACCACGCGCTGCGCATGCTCGACGACAACATCCATCTCCAAGAGGCACTCGACCCGGATCATGCGATCGACCTGGCCGAGGAGAAGAGAATTCGGCGCAAGGTTGACTTCCGACTATTGCCCTTGTGCGGAATCGTCTATGCCATCTCGCTCGTGGATCGACTCAATCTGCCCAACGCCCGCCTCGCTGGCATGGACCAGGCCCTGGGCATCTCCATCGGCAACCGCTACTCCATCATCACCATGATCTTCTTCATCGGCTACATCCTCTTCGACTTCCCGTCCAACCTGATCATGCGCAAGGTCGGCGCCGCCACGTTCATGGGCGTCATCAGCTTCTGCTGGGGTGTCGTTACCATCGGCATGGGCTTCTCCAAGACCTGGGGAACTCTGCTCGCGTGCCGCATCATCTTTGGTGCCTTTGAAGGCGGACTTTTCCCTGGAATCGTCTTCCTGCTGTCGTGTTGGTACAAGAGAGACGAGGTCCAGGTGCGTTTCAGCGCCATATACGGCTGTGGCCTGCTGGTCTCCGGGCTGGCCAACTTGATCGCCTACGGACTGTCCAAGATGGATGGCCTCGGAGGGGTCCCTGGCTGGTCTTGGATCTTCATCATGGAGGGAATCGTGACCGTCGTCATTGCCGTCCTCGTCCTCCTCTTCCTCCTCGATTTCCCGGACAGGGCAGCTCGCCCGTCTCTCTTGGGGTTCCGATCCTTCCTGACCCCGGAAGAAGCAGCTATCGTCCTGGCTCGCATTGAACGAGATCGTGGTGACGCCGTGCCCGAGAGATTCACCCCGAGAGTCATCTTCTCCCACCTCAAGGACTGGAGAGTCTGGGAGTTTTGTCTGCTTCTCATGTGCAACGTGAGTTTTGGAGGATGTCTTTCTGACAAGTGACAAGACTGACATGCTCGACCAGAACACCGTGGCATACGCTTTTGCCTACTTTTTGCCTTTGATCCTCAATGGCGGCTTCGGCTATTCACTCCTCAAGACCTACATACTGATATTCCCCCCTTATGTGTTGGCGGTCATTGTGAGTCTGTCCAGTCAACCGTACTGGGTCATACATGATATGCTGACTTACTTCTCCTAACCAGTGGATGTACATTGCGGCCTACATCGGCGACCGCTGGATGACTCGAGGGCCGATCATCCTCTTTAATGCCGTGGTGACCATCACCGGTGTTGTTATGTAAGTTCTTCTGCCATTCATGAAGGTTTCCGATTTTTGCTAACTCGGGCTCCCAGTATTGGTTACGCCAAAAACCCCAGCGTTCGGTATTTCGGCGTCTTCCTGGGCCTGCCGTCCTACAACGCCAGCATCCCCGCCATCTTCAGCTACCAGCACAACAACATTGTCGGCCAAGCGCGGCGCGCCATCGCGTCGGCTGTCATGCTTGCAGGCGCTGGTATCGGCGGCATCATCGCATCCAACGCCTTTCAACAAAAGGACGCTCCGCAATACAGGCCCGGGCTCGACACGATCATCGCCGTGCAAGCACTGACCATTGTGTTGATCTGCAAGAACTTTTTCCTCTACACGCGTGCAAACCGCAAGGCCGACAGGGGCGAGATCATCATCGAGGGCAGACCGGGATTCCGGTATACCCTGTAGATAGGTGGTCTGGATTCTTGCGCAGGAGAAAGGTCATCTCCTGCCCCCTAAAAACGGAGGGACTCGATCTGGTATGCTATGGGATGGTACTGTATACCGAATGGATTCTAGGGCTGGGTCGGATATATCATAACAGGTTGTGGCCTGTACCGTGACAACAACACCCTCTTGAACCTTGTATCTTGTACCGGGAATTGAGAATCAAAGCCACCAGTCGCCTTAACTTTCGTGAGAGACATGTCCATTTTCCAATCCTCCTCCTGAGCCCTTCTGTATGAAGAGAAAGTAAAGAGGCAGGTGAGGGTGATAGTGATGGTAACGGTAATGGTTAGATGGACGTCGATGTACGAGATCCCAAGCGGGTCGGCGCGTGTGGTGTCAAGACTCAAGGGGCCCGGTCACTCACTCATACCAATGTTTATAGGTGTCGAAAAATGCCGTGTTTGACGCGCTGACAAGAATGGAGGGAAGACGGCTGTAAGAATCTCGGTAGAACAGAGGTATTACGACGTAACGACGTAAAAATTCGAGGTTGTATTTTTGGGTTTTTTATTAACTGGCACGCCAAGCTGTGCTCTTGACCCGTCAATAGTGCAATTGTGCACATGGAGTTTTATGCACAAGTCACGTGAGACTTGGCGTCAAAGACAACCCCAGCTCCTCTCCGGTTGACCAAGCTCCTCCACAATCTCCACCACCACTTACTATCCGTGCCTGGACATCGTTTCACTCACGCCAAATCGTGTTATGGATTGATCGATGAGGTGGTCTCCCAAGAACCCCGGCACATTCCACGTGCTGACATCCATGTCTGACATGCACGGAGCAGCGATACAAAATGCCCAGCCCCCCTTCGTTCGCCATTGTGGGAGATGGCTTTGGTGGGAATGATAAGGGCAGTTTGCCTTGACGAAAGAACCAATGAGACAAGCCCAAAATTGTCGACCATTGCAGAGGTCAACTCGCCCATCGCGGCCTGGACAACGACTCGACCAGCCCAGAGTGGATGGAAAAAGGTGTCAGAATGCCCGTGATGGCGTGCTCTGTTTGTCCAAGATGTCGGTCGCACTTCGACATCAAGCTTGCAATCGCCCTCGGCCAATCACGCCATCTCTGAACAAACCCTATCTCCACCACGTTGTTGCCCCTTTCACACCAACTTAGCGAACCAAAGCATGTGGCTGTCAACTCTGCGCTGGCGAATTCCTGTACTGAGTACTTTGTTAGCCTCTTCGTCTGCTGAGGTTGGCACGCGTCGGGACAAGGAGTCTTAGCATCGGGTGTGCAAGATGCCTATTTGCCGGATAGATATTTCGGGCATCTCTCCTTCGAGTTCTTGGCTCGGTCAAGGTGCTACTGCAGGATTTTGTGCAACGCAGTCGTCAATTCATTGCAGCTTTCTTTCCCCGCGATCATACGGATCAGCAAACCTCAGCACGCCAAATCTAGTCCGATGGAGCGGTACATGGCCGGCGCAGACAGTCTTGTCGAGATGCTGGTGGATGTGGCATCATATTGGCTAGACAACCCTCGCAGACCACGTTCAAAATGGGAGGGTACAGGTCTCAGCAATACCACGTTCCGAATCACGCAATCATCCCACCATCTGACAACAACATCCACCAGCTTGGTGTGGCAATAATCTCTGAAGAAAACCAAGTAGATCATCCCTGGCAGGCGTCGTCTAGAACTTTTCTGTGTGGCCGGTACCTCGCCGAAAAAAATCCATAATCGATGAAGCATTGAATGCCGAGCAGTGGCAGAAGATAGTGGGCTCGTGCTCTATATAAGCCTCTGCTGCCCCCTGCACTCTCGGCTCTTGGAAAGCGTCGCACTCCAATCTAGTTCATCTTGTCCCAAGGCTTACAGTCACCATGGACAAATCGGTCGAGTCCCAGGTGGTGCCATCCACCGTTGAAAGAAACAAGGAAGCAACAAGAAAGCCAAGACAACGGAAGTGGTGGCAGCTTGGTGGCAAGGACATCAGCCATGTGTCTGTTGACGCGGACGTCGATCTCGACTCAGAGACGTCGTCTTTTGAGCAGAATGGAAACTCACTCGTCAAGAACGTGAACAACGTCTTCGAGGCTCCGGAGGCCACGGAAATCTACAAACCGATCGAAGGGTTTGAGGGCACACATCGTTTCGATCCCTCGGCTGAGTGGTCTCCGGAAGAGGAAAAGGCTCTGGTCAGAAGAGTATGTTGTTGCTCCTTACTCAGAATACCAATTCTTGTTCCTGGCTAACCCGTCTGTTAGCTCGATTGGCGAATTGCCCTTCCAGCATGCATTATGTTCTTTGCACTCCAGCTCGATCGAGGCAATATCACCCAGGCATTGTCTGACAACATGCTGAGTACGATTGATGGGTCATCCCTGATAGCATGAGCAGGAAGCTGACGAGCGCGCAGACGATTTGAATATGAATACCAACGACTATAATAACGGCATGACCATCTTTTACTGCTCCTTCTTGTTCGCCGAGCTTCCCTCTCAGCTTATCAGCAAGAAGCTTGGC